ATTTGCTTGCAGTTTTAAAATGATGTTTCTTTAACCATCAAAATTCTATCACAATTGACTAACGTAGTCAATAAAATTGCTGTTTTCCGCTTAAAAACTGCAAGTTGATTGGCTATACATTTTTCGAACCAAAATCTCGGACCGATTTCTAGCAACATGAATCATGGATGTTGGACTTAAAAATTTACTATACACATGATGTAGAGATGGCGCCACACGAAGTATAATATGTATAAAACTAAGGCTGTGTTCAGTTAAGCAAGATGGAACGAACTAATGGAGGAAATGCAGGAAATACAGGAATTGGAACTAATGAATTCCTATATTTCCTGCATTTCCTACATTAGTTCGTTCCATTTTGCTTAACTGAGCACAGCCCTGTGTTCAGTTAAGCAAAATGGAACAAACTAATGTAGGAAATGCAGGAAATATAGGAATTCATTAGTTCCAATTCCTGTATTTCCTGCATTTCCTCCATTAGTTCGTTCCATCTTGCTTAACTGAACACAGCCTAAGCGATGTATTATACTGTACAATACCAAGTATAATACAATATAAAATACCTCACGTATAATACGTGCCCAACCCTGCTGTGGGATATGGAAAAACTGAGGCTGGCAGGATATCCGGTTTCGGCCATGACAACCTACAACAAAATGGCGGCGGTGCGTGTATGATCAGTACGCGAATGTACAACTCGGGCCTTGTTAAAGTAAAAAAGTAACATCGTAAACATCACTGTGTAAACATGCCGAGCTCTTGTTGCATTCCACAGTGTAAAAATATCACAAAAAATGGATTTCATTTATTTCGGTAAGGAGGAGATATTTATTTATACTTTGAAGTTACAATATTTTAAGGTTATGTAAGTAAACAATTTAAATATTGTAGATTTCCATTAAATCGCCCGGATATTTTACAACTGTGGATTGCAGCAATTGGAAGAGACAATTTTAAACTTACAAAATACAGCTTAATATGCAGTGCACATTTTCAAGAAAATGATTTTATGAAAAGACCCAATGCAAGTGGTGTCCGGTTGAATAATCTTGCTGTGCCTTCAATATTTTGTGCTCCCATTTCTGCGGATGTAACTGCTTCTGCAATTGAGACTCCGTCAATTGAATTCAATACTACTCTTGCTTCTACATCTGCTGTGGTGCCAGAAATCAAATGGAAAAGTATTTTAAAACCAAAAGAAGATAATTCGAAAGAGAATACAAGTACTTCTAATACTACTATCAAAATGCACATGCACAAATCAAGAACAATCATGAGTAATTCATTGTTAAAAGTAAAGAAGATGGAAATGAGTCCACGGAAGAAATTAATGTGGAGGACAATCAAATCATTAAAACAAAAACTGAAGAGAAAAGAAGACAAAATCAGTTCTTTGAAAAATTTATTAAAAACTTTAAGGTATGACAAGAAAGTATAGTTCTAAAATCCTAAAATAACATACATAAGCTTGCATATTCAGCTATTTTGTCATACCAAGTAAATTGATTAAATAAAGGCTAGTGTAAATTGTATATATACAGATAAATATTGAACAATTAATGCAAATAAATATTGTACAATTTAAACGTATTACACATTGTAAGAAAATATACATTTTATTAATGTGAATTGTATTAATACTGAGAATTATAAATATAATTAGAACTAAGAATCTTCTTGAGAAAGATCCGAGTGAGATTATTGCTCATAATTTACTGTTTTATTATTACATATATTATACATATAAACAACAACAACATTGAAGTCCAGAACGTAACAATAACATAAAAGAACGATATACTATATTTCATATACTAGCGGGAGCAGCCATTTTGTTGTAGGTTGTCATGGCCGAAATCGGATATCCTGCCATCCTCACCTTGTTTGCCAAAGTTAGCGATCTAGTAGTAGTATAGACATCTGTGTCTTTTTCACTTTATATTAGAAGAAGAAAGATAAACTCTGAACTAGTGTAGCCAGTTCAGGTAAAACAAACAGACCTATTGTAGAATGGCCCTTAGGTTGAATCCTCATGCAGACACCGGCGCTTTGACACTGAGCGTTGACTGGTGAAAAGCGAATGGTTAGGGTAAATGGCAGCTCTAATTTACCCTCACCACCTGCTTTTCACCAATCAACGTTCGGTGTCAAAGCGCCGGTGTCTGCATGAGGATCCAACCTTAGGCTTGTTCTGCAATACAGTCGTAAGTCGTAAAAAATTGACCAATCACAATCGATCATTCTTCTGTGATTAATCTGTGATTGGTCAATTTCTTACGACTTACGACTGTATTGTAGAACCATAGACGTATAATATATAGACTGCGCGTTTGGCTGAAAAGATGTCTTCAACATTGAGAGAGACAACATACTTTGAATAGTAACTCTTTCTCTATCTATCAATGTCTGTGGTGGGATCAGGGCCTACTGTTTTATACCACCTAACCTACCATTACCCCTTAATCTCTTTCGCTTTTCTTCACCCCACTATTTTTCTATCCCCACTTTTTCACTACTATTCTATCAATCAGCGAAGATTTCTTTTTTCCCCTCTACCTCGCTAGACAAAGGCTACTTTCTTTTTAGGAGACACAGTCGACACAAGTCGACACAAAAGTCATTCTGTCTTTGTTCAGTATTCAGTGAGAAACAGAGACAGAATGACTCTTGTGTCGACTTGTGTCGACTGTGTCTCCTAAAAGGAAAGCAGCCAAAGATGAGGTTACTATTCAACACCAGCTGTCTCTCTCAACGTTGAAGACATTTTCTTAACATGGCAAAGATAGGGAACGCGCAGTCTATATATTATACGTCTATGTGTAGAACAGACTTGACCGGCTAGCACTGGTCTAGTTTCCACCGAAGCATTAATTCACACCTAATGCGACGTAGAATCAGATTTAAGTCGATGGAAATCTGTCAAATTGCGCTGATTTCGCTTTCGCTTCGATCTATAAGTATTCTACTTCCAATGGAAACGAAACACTAAATTTAATCCGTACCGGAGTGAAATCGAATTGAGGGTTTCGGTGGAAACTAGACCACTGAAATGATGGGGGCACGCACACCATAGGTCTGTTCTTTTTCCATACTTTGGCTGCACTAGTTCACAGTCTATCTTTTTCCTTTTATTATAGATAAAAAAAGATATACTGTGAACTAGTGCAGCCAAAGTATGGAAAAAGAACAGACCTCGTAAGTTTTCGCTTGAGTGCGTGCTCCCACCTTCTCGGTGTTCTCGGTGGTGCTAGCCGGTCAGAGTTTGCAACTCTGTTCCGAAGTCCGAGTTGCTTTAAACTTGAAGGACTGTGAACTGCACACTATAGAGAGCCTCTCAGGGAGAGAGTGTCGCAATCTCGTGACGTCACAGTCGCTTCTGATTGGACAGAGGAAAAAGCTGCCCATTGAATTATAGAATTTCTCAGGGATATAGTCGCTTCTGATTGGACAGAGGAAAAAGCTGCCCAATGACGTCACGAGTTTGCGACTCTCACTGAAGGCTCTCAACTGCACGCTATTAGTATTAACCGAGCCACCGCACAGCGCCGAACGGATTGAACCATCTTTTTGGGCGAAGATTTCGGATCGATTTCTAGGTTTCTAGCATCTCTTGTGTAGTGACTAGTTTTTATCTTGTATTTCACGACAAAACTGATAACAGACAGCAACGACTTTTTTTTTTATCGTTCTGTGGTATATTGTTTTTTTCTTGTAAATTTAAAGAAGGAAAATTCTTACTTACGTGGTATACGCTACAACATGATGATGTCAAGTACGAGTTGTAGGAATTCAAGGAAGCAGGCCACGTGCACGAATAGAGTTGTTTATAAAATTGAAACTTACGAGCGAAAAGGTAGTATAAAAAGCCCGAAGTGAGTGAGTACACCAGTAGATAATTAACACAGACACGGTTTTGCCAACCAAGAATGTGCTGTTACGTTGCTGCTTCACAACGTACTTCTTGTTTGAAAAAACATTTATGAGGCTAGTCACACACATTATTATTATTACGGTTGTATACGATGTCAACGCAAATAAGTATGCAGGACAGGAAGGAGTTAGAGAAATTTACCAAATATTTGGCTCTCAGAGCTGCCCAGGTCATAATACAAGCGAGATCAGGTCAGAAAGTTAACACCGCCTGTAAACCAGATTCCTCGGCTGGAGATTGGGTAAAGAAACAAATCATTTGCTTTAAGTTGTACAATTTATTTGGCAATATGTCATTGCTGTTAGCATATGTGTATATATATATGTATGTATGCGATAAGAAAAATTAGTTTTTATACCATTAGATAATTGAAAAGAATTATTAAGTTGCCAGATAAATTGAACAGTTTACATATTATACTTGCTACTACTTGCGCTTATATTTTTCATATATTTGAAGCAATGCATGTGATTGTAGTTTAATCTAGCAATAAAAGAGTTACCAGAAGTGACAGCTGATGCTAAGAGAGCACTGTGCGGAGAGATAGTCAGTTCTTCTGTACCTCTTTGTGTGGAAATCTCTCTGAAAACAGTGGAAGGTGACAAAATGGTTTTGGAAACTTGGAGCTTGGGTGTTCTGCCGGAACAGAGTGATCCAACCGTGCGAGTAACATATACTGTATACAACAGAATGGCAATTTTACTAAAGTCTCTACTGTCTGTATTGAGAGTTACACCAGCTTATAAATTAAGCAGACGTCAAGGATCCGACTCTTACACCATGTGCTATCGAATATATATGGGGGAACCTCAGCTACACAACTTAGGTAAAACTTTTATTTGTGTATTTATTTCATGCTTGTGTATTTATTGCTGCAATTGCGAGACTAATTTATTTCATACAACAGGTGATAACTACAAGCAAGTGAGAGTGGGTCAGTTGTGCACTCCGGTGGGTACCATACATTTATCGGTCTCTTACAGGACAAAAATGACTATATCACCTACCCACAAGGGACGAGATTCTATCATGCTCAAGAGTGATCATTTTCATTCGGATCTGAGTCCACATCACGCGCGTTATCAGCAGAGGTCAGTGAATAAAATGCTGCAAATCTTTTACAAAAAAAAAACTCAAATATAAACTTCAAGTGTATCTAATACCTTCTGGACACTTTAACCAAATGCATTTTATATTTGTAGCGACGAAACATCAAAGTCCCTTAGCGATACCATCAAAGTTGGTGCATTTGTGATAAACAAGCCTGTCATTGTTAACGAAGAGGATCTTGTGATACCAGACGTGCCGTTTAGTTCTCTGTTAACACCTAAACAAACATCTCCTCCTCCGGTGTCATTAGTGGATCCTACGAAGACTGCAGCAGCCACTGCAGTCGACAACAACAACGGAAATAACGAAAGACTCAGTAATGATACGTCAATTTCGAAATGCGCATCACAGAACGGATCTAGAAGAAGTAGTTGTTCAATGACTAGTGCCAACGATGATTTTATTATGGTAGATTTGGTAATTGATACTCCTAATCCGAACACAATGCCACAACACATTATATCACTTGGCTTTCAGAGTGTAAAATTTGCCTAACGTAGAACACAAAAGTATTTTATGTTTGTTTTTATTGTTTTTTTTTTTTTTTTTATTTTTTCTTAAACAGATTGTGGGCGGCAAATTTTACACTGAGTAATATACACGAATTGAATAATGTGAATGTTGTTGTTACAGAAAACCCCTTTCGCTATTACGAATACCAATAGTGACGTAGGAGCATTTTATCGCGAGTGTCAAAGTGCTCCGCAATTGCAAGCCTTCATGGAAGAAAGAACGCTCGAGGAACAACTGGGAGACATTGCGAAACAATTGGAAACGTTTGAAACTAATATGCAACATTACGACGATTTTTTAACGTCATTATGTCAAACCGAAAATAATAATTAAGCAACTCGAATCTGGTGCTGACTTATGCATATCTATCGTATTTAGGTATATAACTTTCATCGTGTTAGAAGAAAATGACACAAGTGTACAATTCTTGCATCGCGTATAGCTTTTGTTTTTCTTCAAAAATATCATAAATTTTGTTATCCTGAAAGCTGAAAAATATGTAGCCAACTCTGATATGTGTCCGCGGTGTCTCGCATAGAAGTGTAAAATCCCGAAGATGTCACATATTTAATTTCTTTCGATTTTTATACTCTATGTTTTTAGTACGACTGAGTTTACTGCTTATCTTCGACGCATCTCCGACGATCACGATAACAATTAACTATGACTTATAGAAAAAGAAACTAAAATATCAAGCTATACGAGAGTAATTAAAATTATTACATCTGGTACGTTTTTAACATTAGGTAATTTACAGTTTTTGAAATATATTTTTCTTGAATTTATTATCACATAACTATTATTTTTTGTATGATTTTTTTTTTATTATTTCTGAATAAATTAATTAAAAATTGACTATTTTATGACCGTACTGATCCTTTGCTTTAACGAATGGCAACTTTATTAAAATCTTTGAAACACGTAGATACGCAGTGAAGTTTTTCTCTCTTACATCGGCCCTTTCGGGTGACCGAGAAAATTTATGGCCTAGTTCCAAAAAAAAAAAAAAAAAAAAAAAAAAAAAGCAAGTTATCTGAACTTATCTAAGAATGTTTGCGCTTTGATCCGAAATTTTGAAAACTGAAAGATAAGCTATTGTATATTGGTATAATATCACAAGTTTACACGCGATCTCCCAATCTTCTTCTCAATACTCGCTAAATACTGCTGGCTCAAGTGTTTTGCTAAAATCTAGCTGCAAACTTTTATGTACATATATATACGGAGAGCAGAGCACACGGTTAGTGCGATAAGTGATACTTGTTTACTTAATAATATATAATTTATTGCTTGTATAAAATGTAAATTGCACATAGGCATTATAAAATTGATTGATAAATATAAGTGTGTTGTGGCAATAAATCATTTTTGCAAATTTATTATAGAATAAAATTTGCGCATACACACGCGCATCCGTAATATCGAATTATAGAGAGTTTATACAAAAGCACGAACCAAGCATCTCAAAAGAACTTTTCTTTCTTTATTTTGTACTTTTGTTTTATCATCTTTGCGTCTCTTTTTACTATCTCATTCTTGTTATCTCTTAAAACTTTGTTTTTATTTTTGAAGGAGACCCAATAACGTAAAATAAACAAAAAACATGTATACTGTGTCAATTTTAATATATATTGTACAAATTATACAATTTTTTTTTCTAAATCTTCCCTTTATATAACAGGTGTTATATACAAAGATTACGCGTTTGTGTATGTGTGCTCTAACTTATAAAATTTATTTAGGCGTTTGATGTATATACTGTGTTATACGTTTTTTCTATATGTAATTTTACATAATTTATATAACGTTTATATAGCTATTTAATCTCAAGAATTCTCTCATTACTCACGTTTATAAATGTTGCCAATTTGTTAAACGTAAGATATATATCAAGTGATAAAAATCTATAATAAACCATGTCAACACAAATTTTATAAATAAAGATATCAAACACGAGTCGAACAAATTTTGTCACCGTTTTCAGTTTGTTCGTTTTTGTGAACAGGATAAAAAGTACTCTGCACCATGTTCTGTACAAATTATGCACATATATATTTGTATGTATTGTGTATGTGTGTATATGTGTGTAGTTTATATATTTTTGTACAAACATTTATGTTATGTGCAAACATAAGATCTAGAACACAGTTTTAAAGTACTTCCATACTATCTATATCTACTCCGATATCGAGAAAATCGTCAGTGTAATCTTGGACATGTCTTTGTACCAATGGATGCTCGGAGTGATCCGGATCATCCGTTACTGGACTAGGTGGTGGATTCGATACCGTGCGATCCGAGTCTACTGGCATTCTGTCCATACCCTCTCCACGTCGTAATCTCGCTTGCTCTGCAATCTCTCTGGTCGAGAGCTCCGCTCTAGTTAACAAAGCCGGTAAATCTTTTTCGGATCCATCTGCAATTTTAAGAAATTTTATGTTTGCATCGGTACACTTTTCTTTTATAAATCTTCACTGTTAAAAAAAAAAAAAAGAACAGTATAAGTGATTTACAAAATAAGTTATTTACTTTCAAAAGTTCTCATCAGTTCTTGTGCTTTTTGTCTTTTTGCATCAGCATCGGCTTTTTTTCTTTGCTCGCTGGTTTCTTTTTGATCGTAGTAAAATATTTCTCTTATTTTTTCTTGTGGGATATGCTTGTCATTTTTCACCAACCAAAAATATACTCCACCGGCGGTTCTTCTACGAGATCCATTCATTATTAACATTCCGCCGTCTTCTTCTATCTTTCTTGTTTTTTGAAAGAAATCGATAGCTTTCTCTTTACCAATTATATCTACCACTCGTCCTATAAAAATAAAAAAATATATAGAAATCAAATACACACACAATCTATATAAATGTCTCATGTGTAAAAGATTTTAGATTTCTCTCTCTACTTACTTATGAGAAGATCCTTTCGTTCACTAAGCTTAGTTGTTATATCAGTAGCAACATCAGCATCTGTCGACTCCACAGTTGTGGACAAGTCTGCTATTATTCTAACAGAACCTTTCTGACTGTCAAAATCCATCAAGTTTTTTCTTTTACCCAATCTCAATTTTATGTTATGTCTGTCTGAATTTGTTCTCTTGTTAGTTATTCTTTGTTCAATATCTTTTTCATCATCAGAACTGTTGTGATTATGAGATTCTCTGCCATTTGACATGTATCGTGAGAGAGTGAAGTTATAACTTTCAACACTGCGTTCTTGTAATTTCTTTGTAACACCACACAATGTTAAGTCTTCTGTTAATGATTCTTCTTGCACTTGTGTACACCATACATTGTACTTATCATTTCTGCTTGGACAGTCTTTTGAAAAGTTTTTGTGTTTCTTTAGTTTAAGTTTAGGTCTTTTCTTAACAGTATGCGCAGAATCTGAATCAGAATCACTTTCGGTATCTGCAGATTCATCAGATTCATCACTGTATCCCAGTTTTGCACGTGTATTTGCAGCAGGTGGTGGTATGTGAGGTCTTTCTAAGATTTTGTATGGTTCAAAGATGTCACTTGGCTATTCGTGAAAACATTAAACCATCAATTAGACACCATGTTTATTAGAGAGCTAAGATATTGAGCTATTCTGAATTGATACAAATAAGTTTATAATGACACATATACATGTATATTCATGTAAATATACATGTGAATATACATGTATATACATGTATATTCACACAACAAAACTTCAAGAAACATTTATGTGAGCAATAAAAACTAAATTATCAAAAAAAAAATCTTTCTTAATAGTTTTTAAGACGTTTGAATTAAAAATTAGGCTAAAACATTGAACATATCTAACCTGTACGCTAGATATAGGTTAAGTCTACTATATTCAATACAATTATAGCATCTAACCTCATCGTCGACAATTTCACCCTCTTCTAACACTGGTTCCGTATCCATGTTTTCTAATAGAGAGCTTGTCTCGTTAAGATAAAAAGCAATTATACTCCTTTTTTTTTTTGACAAAAGCAAAATCACCAATCCTTACTGTGTGTGTGAGTCAGTGATCTGAATAATAATAATCAGGATATTTGATTATGCTTCTTTTTTTTTTTTTAATGACTCCCGAGTTTTGCGAGCTGCTCCATACGCCGTCTTGAGAATTATCAATGCGATTATCAGAACGTTCAAACTTTTTGAAAATAGAGTACACGCGATGCAGAATCACGTATGTAGAAACCGATCTTCTCCAACGCCATTGCACGCTTACGCACACATATGTATTATATACATATTATATATATCATATATATATATATATAATACAAGCATATAGGCTACGTTCCCATATTCACTGCCAGTACTAAAAATCTATATTAACGTAACATGTGCTATAGATTTCCAGTAGTGGCAGTGAATATACACATTTCTAATATGCAGAAATAAACTGTATATATATTTATTTTATATTAAAAAAAAATATATTAAATCATTTAATTGCAACAAGAAACAAATTTTTCTTCAAAAAAAAAAAACGGAGAAATATTGAATACATAGCTCTGAGCCATGACTTCACTGTCAGCAGTGAAAATCTACAATTCACGTGACACATGTTATAGATTTTCACTACTCATAGAACCAAATTAATGGAACACCAAGCTTTTGGCTGATATTACATTTGTCGTGCGACAAAGATTTTAAGTATGTTGATTGGCTATCAGATAGAGTTTTATAAAGAACTGTATTTGATAGCCAATCAACATATAGTTAAAGTCTTTGTCGTACGACAAATCTAATATTAGCCTTTGACAACGAACTATTTCCAAACGCAAACGTTGGATTTACTCTGCTCGTCGCAAACTGTTGCACGTCGCAGCTAAAATTCCTATAAAGCCCGTTCTACATTGATCGCAAGCACAAACGCAAGATATAGATCTCGTAGAATTGACCAATCACGCTGGTCAATTGGCTGATTTCATCAATACGACTAGTCAATTCTACCAGACCTGTTCCTTGCGTTTGCGCTTGCGATCAATGTAGAACAGGCTTTAGACACTTCTGGAAATTTTTGCGATCGCCTGTAAATGCGGCCTAATACATTCGTTCGATCTGTTTTACCGACGCCAGAATTCAAAGATCACAGATGACGTTTTGCAATATCGCATTCAAATGAGTCCCGTGTCAACGATAATTTGTTCTTGCGAATTTGATCGATCCCATTGGTGTGTCCAGAGATCTGACCGCAAGTAAGTTTTATTTTTCTTTGACAGTTAGACCTGGTTTATGCCGGCAAATAAGGCCTTGTTTATGCGGGTAATATAGCTGTTAATTTATGCCGGAATTGGTACAGTTCAACTATAGGATTTCAATGCTTCTGTTATAGTCTGTTATGCTTATGTTAATAAACAGAAATATTAAAATCTTAAGTCCGCATAAACCAGGTCTTAGACTAGAGACGTTCGATAATCAGGCTGATTGATTCAAATAAAAGACACACAACGAGGTATATTTGCACGTAAACTTCCATGTGAATTTATTACTGGAAATTACAAAAAACGTAGATTAAAATGTCGTACAAAAGCGCCGTAATAGTTCCGAAACTATTCCATTCAAACAAGATCCTTTCATAGTCCCTCCTTTCCGGCTGTTGACCGCAGTCGAAACGGTGGATCACGTCGATATTTCCCCCGCGTAGGAACTACTGTCATTCAATCCTTTTCAATCGTTATTGAGATTGAATCGCAAGATACATAATTCAACCAAGAATATCACTTGTGAAGTTTCAGATTTATTGGATATAATTTTTTTTTTTTTTTTTTTTTTTCACTCCCGTAACAAATTTTAACCGTAAAACTCGTTCGTTCGGATGAAATTCCCGTAACTTCCCGTGTGATCAGAACGAGTCATTTAACAGTGTTCATTAATAAATGTTGATTCTCTTTCGCAGTTAGCCTGATTCTTTTTTCACGTACACACACACGTACACACACACACACACACATACACATTCACACACATAGAACACACCTCTTTTCTGTCGTTCGTTTTTCAATCTCTCACTCCTCTTTTTTAAATTCCTTCTCTTTAACATAATTAATTTTAGATAAATACTATACTCAAGCTTATATCTACAAACTATCGCAGATAAAAACGCATTAGAAACGGTATAAAATGGACATGTTTCGTTCATTTTCCTGTTCCTCTGTGAATAAGTTTCCTCGATAAGATTCTAGACTACGATAGATCATCTTTCTTTCTCTTCGTCTTACAGTTCTTCTTCCTTTTTTCTCCTACGAGCATGTCATACGTATTATTTATGCTCGATATATGCAATTTCTCAGAAGTACAGTATATAGTTAAGGATTTGGAGTAGTAAAAGTGTGTGCTAATATATAATACAAAGTGCGCTAATAATATTTATGAATCGGGACAATCGAATTAATGTGCTGAGTGTATCTGTTTGTTTTTTTTTTTTTTTTGTTTTAGCCTTGATCGCCCATGGGACTTTTTTGTTCAGTCTTTCTTGCATCCAGCCCACTTATCCAGCGCGTGTTCAACCGTGACAATCCTAATGCCGCCGCTTCCAGAATCGTGATCTTCACTCAATCGCAACGCGAGACATCATAAAACCTCGCCTGGTAAGCAGAACGCTGTATACCCACAAAAAAATATATGTAATATAAAAAATTTAATATACAAAACTTTGTAAAATTATGACACAGTAATTATTGAAATAATTACATAATTTTTCAAAGATCTCTAAGTAATTCTAATTGTTTGAGAGATAGTGGTATAGCAATTTGTAACAGCATTGTGTCTCATCGTCAAGATTTCGCGAGTGATCTTACCCCAAGCCGGTTCCAATGAGCAGAGACAAAAAGTTCGTGAAGAATAAAGTGTAAATGACTTCCTTGGAAAATAATCCGTTCTTGCCGACTTTTGCCGTACGAATGCTGTATGTTTTCCTCTTAGTTCCTAGAGGATGTTTGAACTTCCAGTCTCTACAGAGAGAAATTTCATTAGCAAATGCACAATGTGTTGTCTTTCGATTTAATCGCGATTTGATTAAGTATCTCAGTTGACAACATACTTCGGTGGCATCTGGTCTGGTCGAGAGCTCCACTCGTAGATCCAATCGGTGTTCTTCTCTAGAAGTTCGCCCTCCTGCAAAGCGCAAAAGAAAGAGCATTGTAACAATCTCCGCAATAAAAAAAAAAAAAAAGAGAACACATTCGCAATTCTCGATATCAACCGTAAACCTTTTAACGAAGGAGAAACAGACGTAAAAGCGAGAAGGAATTGATCGCACGATATATGTACTATGCAACCACTAGGCATTCTATGTAGTATGTATGTACATATATTCATGAATGGTCACGGTAGAAAAGTGAATGCTCAAAGATGACCTTTAGCCATTCCGCACGTACGTACATACATATGTACATACGTACACACACGCAAATGATGTGCGCAGCTTGTCGCCATTTTTAGCTTGTAAACAAGCCGACCAACCCTATCTTAAGCTGGATCTATAGTACAGTCGCGAGTAGTCGTAAGTGACACTAAAACAAAATTTTCCCATTTCAGATTCACAACGGTCGCAAATTACCGTTGCAAAATTCCCACAATAGTTATCTGGTTAATTCGCGACCGTTGTAGGTCTGACCTTATTTCGAAAAGTTGAAGACGAAGGTGAAAATAAAGAAACAAGAAATAAACACGTTCTCGTCGAGTTTCACATTTGATTGTTTCTTGTGATAACATCGTACAAATAATTTAATTTATTATTCTCCGTAACGCAATTTTGTCAGAATCAATTGAGACACTGTGTTCACATTTTCAAGTATTTTCTTCAGTTCGCACTCATTACCCGAGGCATTTACTAAGACGTTTATTTTTTTTTTCGCAGATGTCCAAACCGTTTGCGATTGCGAAAAACAAATTGTTGAGATGAGCCTCTAAACCTTGGATGATTCAACAACAAGCCCATTATAATCAATCTGAAAATTGCACATGTGAACGCAATTATCATTCACGGAGCGTGACATGCAATTTAGCCAGAATTCTATTAAGTTGTCAACAACCGAGAAACAATAATAAACAAGGAGAACGCAAAAGAGTGTTATCGCATTTTTGAGGCAAGTATCGACGAGATCACATATCGTGCACCTATGCAGATAAGATTTCTGTTTCTCTTTCCGTATATGGCGTACACGCAGAGACGATTTAAGCGCTGAAAAACTGATAACCTGGCGATCACGCCGAAAAGAGGCGGTGTTTATTTTGAACGCGGTATTTTCCGTTAATCACCGTTGCGTCATTTTATCATTTACTTATTGAGAAGGAGTGTGCGTTTAATTTATTATCAGCAAGTACGTGTATTCACGTTTAATCACGTCTTTGCTGCGGCAAAAGAGTAAAAGCGACGGTGATTGCCTGCGATAAGTCGCGTAAATGCACACGCAACCGACAATGCGACACAAAAAATAAATCAATTGCACGTTCGCGTGTAGAGAGATCTTTTGTGTCAACGTTTTTTCAAACGTTTATTTTTTAAATTTTATTTTGCGCGCATATCGTCGCATTTCTCGAACTCGATCAAACGAGATGTTCGATTCGTGGAAGATACGTTTTTATAAATAATTCTTGTGTTTCGCTTTTTGCGAGAGTCTCTCTCACGAGTGTCGCAGTTGTGTGTTTCGTCATTGCAGCGACGACAATCGTACAAAAAAAAATTAATATAATATTTATATTAAATTGCGATTTTCTCATAGCGTTTCAGTGTCGACTCGATGTGTTGTAACACGCGAGCCGTTAATGAGATCGGGACATATTTGCGCGATCGTTGAAATGAGAATCGAGGAGAATGGATTCCCCCACGACGGCGCTGACATCGCGCATGGCGTGACCTCGCTACGACCGGCGATTGGTCAGTCGATACTACGACGTTCTCGAGAATGCGTCTCCTTACTGCTCCTGACTCCACTTTTCTTCTTGGCGACGAGTTTAAGACGCAGCATATATTGTATATACATGTATACACGTAACATATACATACAAACGCACTTGATTCGCAACGGCTCGGTGTGCAACCATATACGTACAAGGTGTGTTCCCCAGGTTATTTCACGACTAGGTACACACTCTTTTGTTCATGAAATTTTTGATTTTACGTCTTTGACGTACTTGGATTTTTTTTCGTTTCAATTTTAGACATTTTTAAGATTTTTGTTACTTGAAAAAACTTACTATATATATATAATCGTATTACTTGTCTCAATATTTCACTCAAATTATATACGCGAGATTCTCAATTAAATAATTCGTGTTACGATATGACCGACAAGAATTACGCGATCGAGTGCAATAACCGGGGATTGCGTTAATTCATCGCGGCGTGTTGGCTCACAGACGAAGCCATATGTCGTGTCCGAAGCCAGCGATAATCACGCTTTCCTCTATCACGGATATTCTCAGTCGAATCTCTCCTTTTTTTTTTTTTTTTTTTTTTAAATTAACAATCGTGCCGAAATACAATGCTCGGGAACCTTTGCTTCGTCGCTCTCGAAATTTCTCACGCGTTTCTTCTTGCCGCGGTCTCAGTCTCTCTGCGCGCATACATATATAGACGGGAACTTTATATCGCTCGGTGTCTAAATGCGGCAAAGCGCGAATGCGGCAGTACGCGAATGCACCAGACACACGCACGCACGCGTGACGTAAACTGTCCACGCCCGAAATATAAATAAAGAAAAATATATATGTATATACACACACATACATACTGTGTTATATATGTGTACGTATATGCGTTTTCAATAAAAACCCAAGCGACATCCGATACGTTGCGCTTTGCGGAAAAACTTGAGAAAAATAATATCGCGTTACTGTGTTCGTACTTCTGTCTTTCTCTCTTTCTCACTCTCTGACACACACACACGCCGCAATTGCATATAGACGTCTCGTATGCAATATGCAACGCGCGCGAAGAATATCAGTTTCTACGTGACGTTAAAAGACCGCAACAAAAGCAAAAAAAGAGAGCTCAGACTTTAACAAGATGAAGAAGAGAAATCTTCTTGTTCGCACCTGTTGCATATAAAATCTGTGCAATTGTTTACCCACGCGCTAGTTTGTGTATAATCTTGTTTACAAATAGCTCTACTTCTTAGTTAGAACTCAGATATTCGTAAATAAACTATTTGTCCGTAACTTTTCGCGTATTTCGACCTGCATTCTCTAATCCTCGCGCAAAAACAAAATTCCAAACGCGTCAGAATTACGCAGATGCGCGATTCGGAGAAAATGTTCATCATATCGTATTTTCTCGGTGAAAACAAATGTAAGGATGCAATGATACACAACAGTGACTAATATTCGCGCGCAATATACATAATTCTCACGAGAGATAAAATAAAAGATAATAACAATATATTAAATACGCGACATCGCAGCTATTCGTTCAACGTGCGTAGACGCGTTTTTTTTTCTTTTTTTTTCTTTTTTTTTTTTAATTCTGATACAAAGACAGTACTAATGACGATGAAAGAAACGCGACGCGCTCGTTAAAAGAAGAATAAAGCAACTAAAAAGAAATCGACTGACTCATGGAAAAACCTTAACGCGAGGCCGGTTCCACTTTGTTATCGTCGTTACTCATACCTCGCGCACAATACAGTCGGTCTTTGTTGCTATTTTCGTCCGTCTGGCAAACATACATAGTAAAACAACGACATCCATCGCTCGCGCGGCTTTATCGACAATTTGCCGCGTTTCAAACGGCTTTGCGCGAATTGACTCGCGAGCGGATAGAGAAAGAGATGGGTTGTTGTTACGTATTGTATTTTCAACTACTACTCGCGACTAACGTTTCCGATGCCAATATCTGTGTAATTATTTGTTTGTCTCACGATAAGAGGTACACAAACAGGAATCGCTTTGTGACTTTCGTAATGGTTATTGATTCCTCGTGTTTCCATGCAAAGAGACGAGAATGAATGTCTCTGTCGGAGCTGCTACCGCGTCTTGTACACCAAGAAATAAAATATCTATATAAATATCTATTATATTTTTTGAAGAAATCAAAGAGAGAGAGAGAGAGAGGGAGCGAAAAAAAGATGTTAATTTATTTATCACATCACACAAAAAGAGAAAGAGAAAGAAACAGCGGCGCAGGTTCTTAGTGGAATGCTGCACCGCAAGCTCGATGTCGCTTGTCGCATTGAATAGTCATAAGATAACGTCGCATTTACATGCAAATTGTTTTACTCTTGGTCCGTCCATGCAATTCGAACGCGACTGTACACACACCAGGTGTATACATACAACGGCGCATTTTTTTTTCAATCTTCTCGCACGCTCTCTTTTATCGTTTTTATTTTAAGATCGCTTATAAATTTTCAACTTTTCCCATTTAACTTCACGCGACAATTGGCATCTCGTCCTCGTTTTGCGCAAACACTTTCCGAGCGCTTTTGTCACACAGATAGCGAAGCAAGATAAAAGTTGAAAAGAATGATGTATATAGGTAGAACGTACACTTATATACGCGCCAGCGCGCGACAGTAAACGCGCGCTTTTCGACGGAGAAAATTTCACTCGCGATCTCTCGCGGAACAGATCGATTCCGCGTCGCTCACGATGATGTGTTTGAAATGAGAATAAATATTCGAGGGTATATTTACAAATATACCCACGAGGTGTTCCACAGTCTCGTCGAATTGCATGAAGAACACACACACACACACAGAAAAAAAATTTTATAACAAAACTGCTAACCTTGTTGCAACTGTAATTTATGTAGACGCCTTTGAGCTCATCCTCGGTCGAAAGTTCCGTATTCGGGCTATTCGGCGGGCTCTTCGGGCTGTAAATCAAGTGCGAGTTTTGTTTTTAAAATTTGATTCTTCTGCAGCGAAATATAAAAAAAAAAAAAAAAAATTGAAATTTGACTTGATAGTTAAATTTCGGCCACGCTCGATATAACCGCTCGTTTGCTTTGATAAATTCTTGTGTGACAATCGAGCGATAAGACGATTCGCGGAAAGTTGCCGCGATAAAGTGTCGCCTTGAAAGTTCGCGACCCCCTGCGTGCAATACGACGGTTTTATTACGTCGTAACAAGTCAATCGAGAGAGAATTCAAACAGCGACGATTGAAACGACGATTGATCGATCCGCGAATGCATATTCCGCGATTACACGTGGCGTCGATGTGACAACGAACAAGGATCTCGGAAACGCGTGAGAGAAAGAGAGAGAGAGAGAGAGAGAGACACGTACAGAATCGTTATCAGATCCGTTATCGCCGCTGCATCTCGATGCAAAAAATCCAAGAGGTCGCGATAAGATGCGTTTTACTTCAAGTGTGTGTTTACACAAGTGTTGCGCAACGCGTCCATTATGCATCGATGCGAATAAAACGCGTCACGAGGAACAAAGATAAAATTACAATATTTATTTACAAGCAACTATTTATTTCCGTTTCTTACTGCGGCGACACGTGGCGATATTCTTGTCGCGCGCGTAATCTCACGGTCGTCCAATTGACGCGTTCGATATTCCGAGAACGCGATATCCGCTTAAAATTTTTTCGCTATAGTCGACAATTAGCGAACAATCTAGTCCGTAGGTCATCCGCCTTTTTCCACTTTTATCCGTCTGACCTTGAAGCGTTCCGACGCGCGCTCGCGCGCGTTTTACTGAGACGTTTTAGAAATAGACTCGCGTGACTCTCGCCACGCCTTAGGCGCTCTCTCGGCGCTTTACTCCTTCCTCGGCCCTTTCCTCAAGGGACAAGGGACAAAGGCGTATATCAATAACCTCGACAGAGAGAATCGAGGCCAAAACGTTATATAGATAACACAAAACAAAGATACCTGTCCCTCGGGGTGTCCCGGCGCGAAGACGCTAGGGAATGCCTCGCGGACGAGTGTGTGGAATCCCTCTGTGCTTCACGGAGAAGTCGCAGGTATTCGCGTTCGCCGCTGTTGCTGAACGGCGTCGGAGTTGTCCGGGCGGCTGACAACGGGTCCGGTACCAGCTCCACCCAGGACTCTGCACAAGTCAAATTTAATCAAATCTCAATTTTTTTTTTCGCGTTCCCGTGTGTTTTATTTCGTGTGTGTTTTATTTTTCAGAGAGTCAAACAGAAAATTTTTCATCGCTTTGGTCTGAACGAATACCTGCTGCGCACACAACATGACGCGCGATTCTCTCTTCCGGTTTTTATTTGTACGCGCAATTGAAATTCACGGAATTTCATGCAATTTGCGATAATCAACGAATGTCTGACCGATCGGTTGGAGTCTGCGTGCGATATATCAAAACGATACGATACGCGATGTGCGCTCGTAAAGCGCTTCGCGGCAATCACGTAACCAGGATGAACTCATCGCAGTGAAATCTCGGGTTCATCTACCGTCACTCTCTATGATAATTTGCAAACTCCTACGTAACGGGCGTGAATTTATTATATTCCACGCTCCGTTGCACACGCTTCAATCTCCATGTATAAACCGAACATCCGTCATAGATATATTTTAGTCCGAGCTCGTTATTACATTTGTATAAACTAATGAAGTTTGTAATAACGAGAGAGAGAGAGAGAGAGAGAGAGAGCGATAGAGATATACGTATAATATCTTCGTAATTATTAATTAAAAAATTACATCGGACGCGCGCGACGTTCCACCGAGAATATCTCGCGGGTATCTGCCGGATGTTGAAATATCCGGAGAATATATTCGATATCGGAGAAAACGGATATCTCTCTCGAACGTCCGTGGGGAAGGGAGAGAGGGTCGAAATAATGATAAAATAAAATAATAGTAATGATAGAAAAAAATAAACGCGGCAACATCATAAACGGAGTGTGTTTGCGGAGCACGTGTGACGCACGTGACAACTCCATCGACATCGCACGATGACCGTCGCGCGAATATCCGCGGTTTACTTCGAGTTCGTTCACCTGATCGGCCGCTGAAACACGTTTTGCGCGCTTTCGCCCGATCTGACGCATCGATATCACGCGAGTGATCGGTGCCGCTTCGGCTAAGAAGAAAGAAAAAATGAGTGACGAGCCGCCGCCGTCGTTTTTTTACAAAAAAAAAAAAAATTGCAACGTTAAACTTCCAGCTTTCTAATTACGTTATTTAAAATTTCATTCGCCGTGTTGACGCGAAATGCGTGACGAGGGAATAGCGTGTTTATGCAAACACACACACAAGCGTTCCGGCAGCTCTTTTGCCGATGCGAACCGCGCTTGCGTAATCCGCGATCGTTCGCCACTTTGCATTTGCAAGTAATGAAGGTAATTAATTAAACGGCCGTGAAATTGAATATTTGGTTACGAGCGAGCGCGCGTTCCGGCAGCTCTTTTCTGCGCCAGAAGAGAGATCTCGCGAATCGTCGGAAGTTGGTCCGGAGATGAATGAAAACACTCTCGGAGAAGCTATTCACAGAGAGAACTCGCAAAATGCCATTACTTTGATCGGCAACGATCACGTCCGAATCAACGTGACGATAAGCGACGTCCGCGATTGTTAGAGCTAACAAATCGCACAACTCGTGTCGCACGTACCTACGTGCGTCTCTCTATTGGCGCGACACAATGCAAAATCGACCGTTGTTCAATTGTTCAACCGGCAATGCCAGAGTCAAGGCTGTGAAATCGTAAGAAAAATCCTAAATGCGAGAAGAAAAAAACTTCGCGCCCCACATTGGCATCAATGCTGCGGGGTTAAAAAAACGACTTGAAAAAAAAAAAAAAAACGAGAACACGACTCGGGACTTAACTCGATCGCCGCCCGATATCTCTAAAGATATATCCGTTACTTCGTATTGAAGCACATACACATCCTCTCCGTAAAGTGACTTACGCGATATCGGTCACGCTTCAACAACCTCCTTCGTTTATAACCCGATCTGGCGTCAGGCGCGTTTTTAAGACTGGTAAAATTTCGGTGCAAGGACAAAGATGAGAGGGCCCTTTAATTAATAATAATAATAATAATAATAATAGTAATAATAATAATTATCATTATTATTATTATTGTTATTATTATTTATTAAAGGCAATTGGACAAAAGTTTTTAATGATTTTTTATTTGTATGCAAATTTAGAAACGAACACCTCTTCGAACTTTAACCGACATAAATTTGTTTGCAACATCTCCAAATTTAAATTAATCAAAACATTTTTTTCAATTGATAATAAAGTTAGATCAGATGTTCTTTCCTGTGTCATGGTACTTCTTAAATAACTTTTAAGTCTCCTTAATACATTAAATGATCTTTCGGCACTCGCAACTCCGATAGGTAATGTTATGAATATTATAAATTTAAATTTGAATATTATAAATGTTTATCATGCACCGAGGGCCCGCAGATCCCGGGGCCCGTCGGTGCATCGCACCGGTTGCACCGACGTTAAATACACCTCTGTCCGGCGTTCGAGATCAACACGTTGCTTTCGACAATGCGCTACGCTCGAACGGAGACGCGTGTCATCTCCGAAACAAATACTTTCTCTCTTATTTTTAAACACGTCCGTTAATTGCGAAACATTATTTGTTTTGTTTTTAGCCACGAAACGTGCCGCACGCGAAACGATATATAATTAAACTCCACGTGTCTCGGCGCTCGCCGAGCAACTTCAATCAATATCGGATCAAGGACTGCCGCCGCGGACGTTGACGGCTAAAAATACATACGTGCGTACCTCCTCTTTTTCGACGGTTTCTACGCGCTGTTCTAATCGACATCACACGATCCCCGCATTTGTACGTTGAAACACCCTCGTTAATAAAAAAAAAACAAATAAGTGAATAAAAGTGAATAAAAGTTATTAAAAAAAAAAAAGCAAATAAGTGAATATTGTAAAATAATGTAACATTTCATTCGAATGTGCGAGAAAAAGTCAACGTGCGCTCCAATAATGGTTTAATAATGTTTGCGTGTCTGTCTCCATTTTGTGTGAGATTTTATCTCGTGACTCATTTATCTGTTCCGATTCCAACGCGATACGATAAGCTTTTTATATTATCGTTGAAAATTAGGATTAGACACACAACTGTGTCATTGCGTATTATTCATCTATTTGGTGAAGTCCCTCGTTGAGAGGGATTAAACAATTCATCGAAAACCGTATCGTCGTACGGACGTTTACTTCGGATCCAAAAATTTAATTAAAAAAAAAAAAAAAAAGAATATTAAAAAATTTTCCTTATCAGCCTTGTCGCGCGAGTTGCGTGGCAATGTTTGTTTTGTTGCGCGCTTGATTCGCTTCAACAAATAATTTATAACACCGCGATCGAATGACCTGCAATTGATCGGATGAAGAAGTCGGAAAAGAAACTTGCGAGGAGAGCACGCGAGAGAGCGTGTGAGCCGAGTCACGTAGACCCTTCGACTTTCAGAATCCAAACGTCTCTTCTCGCAACGAGTCCCGAGTTCCTGACGAGAGTCACGTCACATCCTTCCGTTGAAACGAAGATTCGCGCGTAAGATATGGAACGACAATATTTAGAAACGGAGCGTAGAAACGAACAAACGCATTTAGACGATAATCGGATAAATTTGCGTGCGTGTTAATTTTTGTCTTTGCTATTTAAAATCAACAACAGCAACCGACTCTTCGCGTACCGCGGTACTGATATCAAAACGACTGATACGCAGCTCCGATCTTGACCGAGAGAAAGAGAGTGAGAGAGAGACAGATTTATATTTGTTAGAACTCATCCGATTTAAAATAGAACACTCGAGCTATGCGAGATCGCAGGACGCTGACCCAGTTTTCTATCTAGACGACTGGATAGAATTCAACAATGAAACAAAGCGATCGCACCGATATATTCGGTCGTTACAATTTAAACACGTTCAACAAAAATGATTATTTATTATTTTTTTTATTTGTGAAATGATTATTTAGTATTTTATTTTATTTACGCACGCGTGTTTGCGTACGTGGAGGTCACATATATTATGTGTTTAATATATTCAACAACAACAAACAACCTTGAAACGTGTGGGATATGAAATTTGCATTTTTTGCATGCAAAGCCGGAGCTACGCAGTTTTATCTTCGAGAGACTTTACATGAAGTGTAAATGAAAATTTCAAAGTTCGGGACGTTAAATATCTTTGTGAGGGGGGCGTGAAACGAACGCTTTGCTTGCCGTTTCGATAATTGTCCGAAGCGATAAACGTCCGTTGCGCGAATGTGATTCTTTTCGACCGTGTACGCGCGCGCGTTTTACTTGATCGTTGCGCCGTTGCGGAGACGAATATTCTTTATCTTTATAGACGAAACGGAGCGAGTATTTAATTTCTGTTGTTTCGTCGAAGAGAACAACGAGTCGAAAATAAAAGATCTCGCAATTCGCAACCGCGCGAAACAATTTTATTTCGCACTTTATCTTATCGGGGCGAGTTGTTGCCGAAAATAAAACCGGAATATAAAAATATTCCGAAACAAAGTCGTCCGCGCTTCTGAGATTATATTCGCGGGTCTCGATGCGTAAGCGCGTCTACAGAATTTGATTGTCGCGCTGTTCTTCTTCATTTTGTTGTTCTTTTCTATTTCTAGCAAACTTCTCTCGTGACGAAGGAAAGAAAGTAACGTCAAGAAAAATTGCGGACGATAGAACGCGAGAAAACGGGACAAAAGACGAGCAATATGCGATTGAAGACGTTGCGAGTACGAAACGAATGTCCCCGCGCACGCTCGCAAATTATATTTCGCTACGTACACACGACGTCTCGTGGCGGTCTTCTTCGTGGTGCGAAGGACCCGCCAGGAAGAATATCGATTCAAGCGCGCGCGCGACATAAACAATTGAACATTACGTCGAGCGTCGTACGTGTGGATGAAAAATCGAAATGGCGCCAAAACTAATGGCGTGCTGCGTCATTACGGATGACTCGCTTCGGAAACCGATCTTCGGATGATTTGTGCAACTTGTTACGCGTCGTAAGTCGGAGACGAATTAACACAGATGATTCTGCGTAAAAGTTGAAATCGTCAAAGATTGAAAAAAAAAAACAAACGTATTTTCTCTTGTGTCAACAACAGAGTTGTTCCGACTCTCCGAAAACAACGCGAGAGACGCCGCGGGCGACACAACGATCGTTTGTTTATGATCGGAAATCGGAGGAAAAGAGCTATAGAAAGGAGAAAGAGCGAGAGAGACGGGCGCGGAGCGAGCGAGCAGACGCGCCGCGCGAAATGGCCGATGTGTCGTCGCGTCTGACAGCCTGGCGTCATTTTTGCTTACATAAAAATGGCCTTTACCCACCGCTCAGCTGTTCGTCCGATGTGTGCTTCACCGTCGACGACATCGCCGTGTCGTGCGTGCGAAGAGAGCGATCGCAAAGAAGACTCGAAGGAGAAAGATGAGCACCTGAGTGACGAACACTTGGAGAACAAAAACACGAAAAACGACGTATGTACTATATATATATATATATCGATAAGCGAAGAGACGCACAACACACTTATCGCCGCGAGCGATCGCAACAAAATGCTGCCACGGGAGCAGCGCAACTGAGCTTTGTTTTCACCCACGTCGCACGCGCATGTCAGCTGCAAACGTCTCGCGATTTATCTCGCATTGCCGCCAGAGGGACTCTGATCTCTGGAAAAGATCCGCACAGCTCGTGATTTGAGTCTCGGCTGGATCGAAAATAGTATTTTTTAGCGAAGATTGAAACCACTCGAGAACGCCAACTTAAGGTATTACATATTTTTACACATACCTTGCTGTACGCGATCCAAGAAAGGGATTAAAGTTATTGGAACTTGGACCTTAGACACAATTTGTAATGAAAATCTACAGTCCTCAAAGTTGTCGCTTTTTTCTGTTCAACTTGGAAAATCTTTTAGCCAAGTTCTTTTATTTTTATTGCAAACGCATACATGCAAATATATTATCTTATATGTTCCAAAACGTCAATGACTTATTAAACTTTCACAATAGCCTTGCCGAAATTATTGCCGCGCAACATTCCGACAAATGCATCGAACATGTTCTCGAAACCGTTGGTCACAGTCTCGCGATATTGAAGTTTGCCCTCACGAATCCACTGCAAATTCTTTTCTATTCCCTCGAACCAACGATCTTGCCAGCGTGTAACGAGAAAGCCTTCCATCTTCAATTCATGGAATACCATCGCAGGTTGAAGAAGTGTGCACTTAGGCAAGGACGAAGCGTCCGCATCGTAGGACGAGATGCTGCCGCACACAGCTACTCGGCCGAATAGTTTCATCTGGTATATGACCGTGCTCGAGATATCACCGCCAACCTGTGCACAAAAATACGAATATGATAAGAATTAAAAAAATAAAATAAAATCTCAAAGAGAAAATTGTCTACTATGTCAACAATTGTATAATATTTCAACTGTAAAGCTCTACGAACATTGTCGAAGTAACAGTCGACACCTTGTGGAGCAGCTTTGCGAAGACTGGTCGCGACTGGCATCGTTTTGTAATTAATAACGGAATCGAAACCCATCTCCTCGGTGAGCCATTTGCACTTGTCATCAGAACCGCATATACCGATAACCGTTAGGCCCAGAGTCTTGGCGATTTGACCTACGTGAGAACCAACCGCACCAGCAGCTCCGCTGATGACAATTGTCTCGCCGGATTTTGGTGTACATATCTCCATCAAGCCAAAATAAGCTGTGTTGCTGTTGAATAAATGAAAGAATGCATTATCACATTGCAATTGTTTGGTCAAAAAGAGAATCAAAACTTGACATAAATCTGTAGAGTATAAATATCTGACTGAACTTTGCAACTTGTCAATTTTTAATCTGTGATATGATCTGAACTTTGCAACTTGTCAATTTTTAATCTGATATAATCTGTGATATATCTGTGATGTGAGTAGTTAGAATACATGTTAGTAATTTTCCATTTTACCCTGGCATTCCCAGTACACCTAAACCGAGGGACGGCGGTAGATCGCCTATGTCTGGAAGAATGTACGATTGTATCAATGCCGCTTCGGATTTCGTGGCCTTTGGATTTACTATCGTATGAGTTCTCCAACCAAAGGATCCAACTATTCTCTTGCCGACCGGAAAGTCGGGATTCTTGGATTCCACGATTTTGGCGACCTGAGATCCAATCATTGTGATTCCCGACGGAAATCTTGCAACATATGGTCTCATGTACGGGTCCACGGAAAGATACTCAGCTTCCGCGAGATATTCTGAGAAACAAATTTGTAACGAAGACAACATTTATCTAACGCATATAAAAACAACAGACACGACAAAACATTGTGACAAAGTGATTATTTATTCCTAAGTAATTTATCTTTATTACCTCCATTCTGCAGAGGTGGTAGTTCTTCTTCAACCAACTTCAGATCCGTCGCTTTTGGCTCGTTTACAAAATGTTTCACCAGCACGTATTTCTTCGCTTTTACCATCTTGTCGAATTGCGTTGAGATCTTTCGAATCGAAGAATCTTTCAATGTTCGCGTCGCGACTTTGTCACGGTTATTGAAAATGATTGATAAATTGCGATAGGAACGAGCAACGGTTCTGGAGATAAAGCGTGGACAACTCGCGTAGATACACGGCGATAACTCGCGTGACACTAAGCTAAATAAGCTCTTCGCGATCATAGTTGCATCGTCACGTACATTGAATAATGTTGAAAACGCTTAACAAATACCTTTTATGTGATAAAGATACAAATTTTGTTTCAAACCACTTTACAAATATTATGTAAGCAGATATATACGCATGCAAACAAATATGTGTGTGTTTTCAAGATATGAACATGACTTGTGTTTTTCGTTAATCGCGTGGTGAAAATAAGAGAAAGCGCCATGATGTGTGATCTAAACAACTAGCTTTATTTCCTTGTCGATTGTATATGTATAATTAAATACTAGATAAATTGTACCATATGTCAGAGAAGATTTTTCCGTTGATAAAATAAACGTTCATTGTGTACATGGAAGTTCGATGGTTATATGTCAAGGACATATTATATATATATATATTATATATATTATATATATGTATAAAGTGCTATATCGCGGGCGATTACAATTAAAAGATAAAACTTGTACTCTAACAAAATTAGTCTAAAATAATCATATAAAAATAGTAGAGCATTTATCGTGCACAATAATTCGTTCCGCGTCTCATTGCAGTTTGTTTCCGCCTCTTTAATACAGATTTAATACACAAATAATTCGAATTTGCGAGTATACATTTTTTTTAAATACACATGTACTACATCAAACTTCAAGATGGCTGACACCTGTTGTTGTCTATAAATCAAAATTTTTTTTTTTTTTCTATAAAAAAACACAAAACACTTCTTTCTTTCTTCAACAAATTGTTCGTTTCACTAAGTTTGTTTGCGAGGATGTTAATCATTTTTTAATAATAATTTTCCAAGTAACGACTACAGACAACCCGCTTAAAAACACATGTCTAGTAATATTTTATGTTGCGACATCGCGTTATTCTCTCCCTTTAAACCGAGAGAGAAAGAAATTTGTGTGTTATAATATATTTATTCACACACACACATCTACTGAATTCTAAAACGATGTCACACTAATGTTTCGTTAGGTTTCGTTAGGTACAAAGAATTATGTATACATGTATATATATATATATATCTTTTGGTTTCGAGTGTCACGCGTCTTGTAATGTCATACACTTTTATGTATTTTTACACAGATCGTCATTAATGCTTTTCTATTACGCTATATATGTATCTATACTTACAAATACATATATATAATTTTTTAAAGATTCATAAAAACATCGGTTGAAGATTACTAGTCCATTTTCTACTAATGCCCAACATTATGTGATACCGTTTTATTGTACGTACAACTTTGTCGTGGTAAGAAAAAATGTTATTCATACATTTGACAGAGTACAAAATGGTCAGACATAGATAAATGGTCAGATATGTCGCGATAGACACAAGTTATATTTGTGAAAATTTAAGTTTAATCCTACCGTCTCAATTCTCAATGTGAAATAAACGCAAGATTACGATGTGTACATACACATAAATTATACAAAATTATAATAATAAATAAAACGTAGCGGGTTATCAGTCTTCTTATCAAAAAGAGTTCGTCTCATTTTTCAATTGCTTTTTCTCGTCCCATTTCTTATGGCAATTAGTATATTTTCCTAAGAAAATTATATTCGTAATTTGTTAATAAATAATTCTGTCGTTATACAAAAAAAGTACAGTCGGTTGTATTAAAACTTGCTAAAAAATAAAACCTTTGAATTATAAATTTAATAATTCAACAATTAATATGGTTTATTACGTGTGTGAGCACAGAGAGATATTATTTATGTTTATTACAATATTATCTAACTCTTATTTTGTGCACGGTCTCACGTTGTTGTCTATTTTCACATAGTCATTTCGTACTTAATCAGACGTCATATATTCCAAGAAATAAAACGATTTTTTAAATAATTGTTTGATAAAAACCATCGGACTATTGTGTGTATTGTGTGGGACGAAATATATTAACACCTGTTATTGTAATTGCATTATTAAATAAATTAAGACAATTAAATAATCGACAACTGATCCGCTGGGATTATTAGTGCGTATTACAAATTTTTATATATAATCATATATTTTGTACCAATTATTTAATTATCTTAAGTTTCTTATCTCTGAGCCAAGTTCTACACATTATTTTAAATAAATTAATATCTTCTCTCTCTCTCTCTCTCTCTCTCTTTCTATTAAATATAATATATAAATGTATACTACATTCTATATATATATACAACTGTTTCTTTCTTTTTCTGGAAAATCTAATATAAAGTTACCATGCACTTTATATAGAAAGCGTGATTGCGGAATCAGGAACGTTGTTGGACTCGATACCAAAGGAATTAAATAGGATCAAGACAATTAAGATGAACATTGGTTTACGACAGGTGATTAATTGATCGTCAGCTCTTCTTCTCGTATAATTATTTGGACAGGAATCTATCTTCTTCAGCTGTACGTGTCATTTGATTCCTATTTCGTTTACTTTTCTAAGTACACAGCGAGTCAAATAGGATTTTCTAACAGCGAAATATCACTTGGTAATTATCACGATACTGATACATTTAATATAATAATTAGCTATTAAATTCCACTTGTCTGATCGATAATAAGTGAGCAAGGATTAATCACGATAATGTATGCGTATTATAACAGAGAACAGCTAATACTATCGTTACTCACGTTTAGTCACGTGTGATTCTGATAAATTATCTCTTTCAAGTTGACGCGGGTGGAAGAAGTGTTAGATTTTATTTATTTCTTTCTCTCTCTTTTCCTCCCTTTAGTTGAAGTTAGAGAAGTCGGTTTTCAACTTGATCGAGGGCGCGGATATTTTAATTTGCGGTTTTACTGGATCAACCGGTCGCATGTGTCGTTGTGCCTGCTGATGACTGGACCTTACGGCATTTTCTAATTTGGTCTTCAGCTCGGTTGACTGCGACATCAACGTCTTGAATTCCTAGTTAAAAAGCAACAATCATTTACAATACACACGTTTGTTATCAGAGAGATTTGAATTCTATCGTCTAACAACTGCTATACCTGCGGATATTTTGGCCCAATCTTGTTGAGCCATTGAAAACTCTGCTGATGTAGACTCGCTTGATACTTAGTAGCGCACTGAATCTCATCACCTTCCAATAAGTAGTTGATTAAAATTGGCACAAGTAGAGTCAACATTTGAATACCTATAAATCATTTTAAGACGAATATTAATATTCATATTGCATATTTTAATATACATTTAGAGAATGAGAATAAATTTGGTAATAAAACTATATGTAAATTAAACGTATGTATTAGAACATTAGATTAAAGAAACTTCTACTTTTCTCCACACACCTTGTAACAGATCTCCTGTGAATAGCGTGCAACATATTTCGCGTTAACATATCACAACATTCGCACATTAGTCACTAATAATTATGATATCGTATTCTCATGTATCGATTTAACACGACATGACTTACGATTGGCAAGATCGGCGAGTCCTATTAGAATCTCCACCGTGCTGATGCAGTCCAATGTGAAGGTCAGCTCCATATCGTTCGCCACCTGTTTGCTTTTGTCACTATACAGATATTCTACTAGTCGTGGCGCGAGGGCGTGTATGTACGGGGTGCTTATGTTACGTTCCGGATGCAGAAATATCGTTCTCAACGTTTGCACGCACTTCAGCCTTACCTAATATACGTGTGCACATTTATATTTAAATTGCTCTCTAAAGAGAGTAACGGATATCTTTATCGAATTAATTACCGGTAGATTTTCCGATTGGAATGCATGCCGAAAGTGATTGATGCACGGAAATTGTAGATTTGGCGCGCTCACCACGTCTGGAGACGCGTGAAGCACAAATACCGCGATACCCAACATCATGGCAACCTCATCCATTTTGGTTTCGTCATTGCCTTAAATAAAACATGTACGATTTAAGAGTAAATAACATTAATGTCTCCGTGATCTCTCTTTGTGAAAACTAAACTTTGTAAAAAGTCTCACAATGTACCTGATTTAGCCAGATCGATAATCTTGGCGAGCGCGCTTCGTAAGAGTCCCGTCCATTGTTCCCGACTTCCGTGATCCCGGGAGTACTTGTTCGTAATAAGACTCTTCACGCAATGTAACGCGGCATGAACCGGCGCCTCTGATCCCGGTTTGGTATTATCATTCTCACTACGCACCGCAGTTTCTCGTATCACACCCGTCGCTAAATACAGCAATGTCGGAAGAATTGCTACTGCACCTTTAGAGAAAACAATAAATTATATCTTTTTTTTTTTTTTAGTCCATCAAGTAATCGAAAAATCGTATTTTTGTGTTTCTAATCTAATAATCGAAGTTCTATTTAGAATATAATATAATATACTGAAAATGTTGATTAAAAAAAGTAAATTATATTAATTACGCAAGTTTTACAAAAGCGTACCTCGCGGAGAGCACAAAGTGGGAAGAGATTCCATTATACTGAGAGCCAACGCAATCAGCTTGCCGCTCTCCTCGGACGGCACGTACCCTTTCTGCGACAAAATAGCGGTGGCACCGCCAGGATTTGGATTCAACGCTGGTATCTGACGTACCAGAAGACACAGACACACCTCCAAGACAGCGAAGACCAACGATTTGCCCGGCACGAGTTCGCCGCTTTCCTCTCCTTCGCCTAAAAGATCTAACTCCGTTTCATAGCTTTCGTGATTCGTCGACGTTTCATCTAAAAATAAAACAAAGTAACAAAGACTACGTATGTAAAATTCATCGATTTACAAAGCAATATTTTTATGTGAGTATTGTAAAAATAATTTCTCTTTTTTTCTTTCCAAGTTTTCGCGCACGTATACCTTCAAGTTTCAACTTCTTTTTCATACAGAGATCTTCCTGCGCTGCTTTCATTACTTGTTTCAATACTTCCATCACCAACATCTGGATGACATAACTTTCCCGTGTCAGGAGCAATCTTTAAACCAGCAAATATATCGATATTGTATGACACAAAAGAGACAAGTTGTAGTTTTCCACAATGCACACGTACCTGTGAAGAACATTACACAACTCGATAGGTAAGGAGCGATCCGTGACGAAGACTTTCCGTGCCCACGCTGAATCGAGCAGTGTGTATAAAGCATTCAAACACGTTTCTATATTTTGCGGCGACTCAGAAGAGCGAGGACTGCACAAAGCTTCCATGCATATACCTGTAAATAAATAATAGTTGCGATAAATAAACATCTCATATGCGAACTAAGTTATACTGAATAATTAAACAATATATGTATGTGTGAAAATATCCTATACACATGTATGTACATACCGAATAACAAATGGAAACGTTCAACATTTGTGTTGTTCTTGGACGTCGCAACAGTTTCGTCGTTATTGTTATTGTTATTCGAATTATTATTAGAAAGGGTTCTCTCGTTCTCTTCATTATTGTTTTCCATTTCGAATCCTCTCGCATTGAGCCAGAGCGTCGCGGCGTGCAAAATCGGCGGCCACGATTCTACGTAGTGAGGACGCGCTGATTCCATAGTGTCCGTAGTGTAAAACGCCCCGCCGTCGTGTGGCAATTGACTAGAAAATTCTGTGAAGATTACACAGAAAATTAATAAATTAATTTTAATTCAGAGAAAGGGCAAATAGTTCAAAAAATATGTAAATTTCAAACGTGACAGGCAGTTGGAACTAAATAAAAATTAATTTTAATTCGAATTATTGTGACGCGTGAAAAAAATACATAAAATATATAATATCAATAATACCTGGTGGTAGAGAAAGCAAGGCATGATCTCTCAATGCAGACAGCCAATGTTGACTCAAACTTAGAAGCTCAGGCTGTACGAGACTCAACAAACTTTCGCTTTGGAACGCAAACTCCCCGAAGTCCTCGTTATTCATCTCGTCGTTGACATTTTTCATGTTTCGATTGCTCGTGTCCTTGCTGTTCAGCGCGGAACCATCCTTTATCATTGCGACTACGTATACCTAACAAAATAATGAAAATCAAATACTAAACACTTCTCTTTTGTTTTTATCTTTTTTTTCAATTACATATTTTCAAGTATATGTTCAACTTTTATATTTTTGTATTTTATATACATGTGAGTGATTATATGTCCAATATTCTTTCAATGTACCTCTGCCCACGCTTTCAGAATCGCCAGTCTTTCCAACGTCGACAGACTCTCGTTGTAAAGCTGAGGTCGAGTATTGCCTTCTCGCAATTTTTCCAAAGATGACACCAATAGCTGATGCACTCTTCGTAAATCGTTGAGATCCCTAGCGACGCCGCTGCCGATCCACGCGCTGCACGCTTCACAGGCTGCGGCTGTAACGTGAGACGGTGTTTCGGCGGAAAATGCTGGTCTTAAAGCAGCTCCGACCTTTAAGAATATTATCGTTTTTCGATGCAACAGCCACGACTTCCGAACGTATACTCGAATCAATGATAACTCGCCTGTGCCTGGAACTGCTCGAGCAACAAGTGACCGGGAAACTCCGGTTCGGGCACCTTAGCAAATTTGTCGATAATCTCCTGCAACGTTTTCAGACCTTCGAGTCGCAACGGATCACAATCGCTCGTCGCGGCCATAAACGCCATGCGCACCAAGTCCGACAGATGTAACACCAGAAAATCTCCTAGAGAAGAGAATTTCCAACCTCATAATATTGTTAAAAAAAAAAACTTAGAGAAAAACTTTGAAAGATAATACGCCAATGATAAAACTGGAAGATCCTACCTTTTCCTTTAGAAAGCTGCATCTCTTTGGCCAGAGCAAGATCAAAGTGTGCCTGCTTGTTGCTTATACAAACCGCGACAATACGTCTGACGCATTGCGCTGCAAATACTCTCGTTGGCCATCTTGGTGTGATCGATGGTCGCTGTTTCGTCGATTCGTCGGCGTGAAATTCGACTTGATCGTCATCGTTTTCAGCATCCGCTGACTCGTTGTCAGCCGCGCTGTCCTCCACATTTGACGTATTGTTTTCCTCAATTGCACTCGATTCTGCGTAACAAAATGAAATATTTTTCTCAAAACGAGAGATAAAGAGACGTTGTCAAAAATGTAATTTGAAAGAATTCGATTATAATACCTGAAGCTATTGTAAGAACATCTTTGCACAACGACAACCACTGAGATAGATTGTCGGCTGCTAATATCTGCAACATGCTTGTCAAAGTGTCGTGAATGTCTTTGATCAGTTTACTGTCGGTTTCCGTGTCGAGCATGCTGAATAAAACGCCTGGAAGACCGGTCTCTGTGATGACAAGACCTTCAACCACATTGGTGTCTCTGCTTTCATTAGCCAGCGTCATCGCGTGTTCGCATACTTCTTTTGCTTCGCGCTGAGCGAGCTGCCGCAGGCACGATATCGCAGCTTTTCGCAAGAGCAAGTGATTGCTTGAAAGAGTACGCTGCAAAAATAGAAAATTATACATGTAATACACTGATTGGAAGTTTTATGAATGGTCAACACTTACGCATAAAGTGGGAACGAGGGAAGACAAATTGACGTGTCTGGGAGCAAAGAGATGCAGTTGTTGAAGACAGCCAGTCGCTTCCGCTTGAACGAGCGGATCTTGATGATCCTGCATAATGGCGCACGCGCACAAAAATGACGATCGCGCCATGCAAATTGTAGATGTGTTGCCTGAAATCAGAGGTTTTGTGACGTAACTCCGTCAAAGACACAAATCCACATGTTTCTATTTATTATCTTTCAAAATAATATTCTATTATAATGCACATATATAAATAAAATGCATCACAATCTCAAGTATGCATCTAGTATGTACCTTGCAACTCTGGTCCTATTGTTGTGATAAGCGCCGATAAAAGCTTTCCGATGCATTGATGCACGTCGATGTAGGAATGAGGAACATTGAGAAGAAGAGTCAGAGCTAATGACAGCGTGGGCTCCACGTAACCTCTGAACATCGGCCCACCGGAATCGGCTATCAGAGCCAGAGCGTGCAACGCCCAAACCTGGACATAAATATCGTCTTGCTTAATTACTGATCGACCTCCATTTTATTGTTCAGGCGTCTAGATAAGTAATTTATACATGCGCAAAGAAGACAAGCGCGATATTATCTTACTTGTACTACGGGAGACGAGTTATCTTGTGCGAGTGCGAGTAAAATGCTGACACTGGTATTGAGATGTTGACTGGAGCCCATCCCACCCACGTACTTATGGAGGCAGCCCAATGCCAACGAGTGCCCGGTTCTACTGGCGACGTCGCGAGCCGATTTTAATCGATCAAAACTGGTCTGCGCCAATTCCGCGGTAAACTTGGGATCGGAGATCACCTGAGCCATTCTTCCGACCGCTTCCCCCGCCGCCCATCGCAAAATAGGATTTCCGCTGACCAATGTACTCTAAAATGTACATTTCATGTTACGTGCAATTGATGAAACTACTCTTTTTTCTGACAATAATATTATAAATCTTACAATAATAAGATTAGTGGCGGACTTCTTGACATCATCCTGACCAAAGCCTGTTTTTGCCTCATTGAGACCCTTAAGACCGCTCAACACAGCCGTGAACACGTTCATCTGTATCGCCTCCTGTCTGCCAGACTTGGTGTGCTTTATGCACTCGCTAAAGTGGTCCAGCATCTGTAGCTTGTGCTTGTTCGCTACGCGCGGGAATATCTGTCCGAATAACGTAACCGACAGATCGATTACTGCCACGCCCAATGGCAATGGTCCGGGAATCATTTCAATCTGTAAGTCATCACGTAAATCCGTATTACAATTCTCTCTCTTTCTCTCTATATATGTATATATTTATAATAATACCAGTCTTATCGTTTGCAATAATACTGTACAAAATTATTAGAATCTTAAACTCACATGCGGTACCGGTCTATAAAGACAGCACGTGTTATGTTCCAATGCTCCAGATCCCGCAGCGCTGTTTGGTTGAAGCTTGAAAAAAAAAAAAAAAGAAAAATTGAAATAACTTTAGATCGCGCGATGAAAAGACATGAAGCTGCAGCTCTTACACGCACATGTATATAACCCTAAAGAAATATAAAATCCTTAGAATATACACATAAAAAAAAATAAAATATCGCTATCACATAAATAAAACGTGTAATCATCAGTACATCATACAATGCAAAAGAAATGTGCGTAAAAAATCAAATTTGTATATGTAGAAAATATAACATAATAATCATTTAATAACATGTAAAAGCGCAGAAAAAAACACGAAAGGCAAACTTCGCAGAACACCTTACTCACATGTTCCAAATCTGCCCTTCTGTTTGGTTCCATCTAAACATGAAGTTATTTACAAAGTTAATGTACAAACTGCGTTTTATATGTAAAAGATTTAACTCTCTCACTATATGGTATGTACATATGTATTTTCTTTATCTAATAGTAACCACGACATGTAAAGGAATGTCAAATATAAAAACGTATTGAAATACACATACAAATTTATGTTATAAGATCTAAAAATGCGCTCACTTGATCTTCTATCGTACGATGGTCGGTCTCTTGCAACCACGTGCCGAGAATTACAGAATCGTTAGCGTGACAAACTACACGTAACAAGGAAGTAGTTGTGTTTCCAGGATTGTCTGTAAGTGTGAACTCGGACACCAGCATCCTCAGAAGATGCGTGTAAGAACCTGTAACAAATGACAATATGCAAATAGAAAGAAAAACAAAGCGACACAAATGCAAACAAATACAAAACAAATTTTAAAACTTTCTCCTTAACGTTTGTCGATTTTACCTTCGAACGTTTGCGGCGGTAGCAGCAGTAAAGTTTCGTACAAACGCAAACGAACCATGGCGGCGGGAGCTTTCAGTTGTTGCCCGTAATTTTTCAAAACTGGCGATAAGCTAGGAGAACCAAAAACATGTATTGTGCAAGAACTTTATTATTCTAAACATAATATTATATAATCTCTACAAAAACAACAGATTTTTACTTCGTCAGCATTGCCAGAGCAGACTCGACGGGTGTGAGTAATCGTCGAGTGATATCGTCGTTCAAAAGCTCCGGACAGTGCAGCAGAAAGCTGTACATGGCGGACAGCGCGCCGGCACGTCCCTCAAGAGTCACTTGCCACGTGAAAGCGTCACCGCGCGCTTTCTCGCTTTCGAGTTCCTTGTTCGAGCGCGGAAACGAATTTCTCCAGAGCAGCAACATTCTTGGCAACAAACCCTTCACCACCGCTGTGCCTGTGCGTTATTAATATAATACATGTAACATGCGGCCGCTCTATCGCGTACTTTTACACAAAGCATTTATACCTAAAGTCATTATTGCTCCTATTAAGAGCCATCCCGCGTGCGTACGATTCAAGGACAAACGGCTGTTCTGACTTGCGCTTCTTAGAAGTTCCTCGGCTGTATTGAAAATGATCTGAAAATCGCAGTTTTTTTTTTCGTAAAAATTCAATCTCGCGCGAGAGATCGACGCGCGAATAACAAAATAAATCAGATGCACACCTTTCCTTTAGTGTGTGGAACACCCAAAGGTGACAAGCGAACGCTACCAAGTACCGCAGCGAGAGCGCTGCTGTAGCCGGCTATAGCCTCCGGCGAGCTACGCATGTTCTCAATCCCGTCGACGCAGCGATCGATCAAAGGTGTTATCTGACTCGGTACCGCCACGCATATGCAACGTAAGCACCAGGAAGCTGCTAATCTAGCCGCTTGACACGGATGTATCAGAACAGCCATTATGGTATCGATCAGGCCTGAACGAGAAATAAAATCATATCGCATGTGACACACAATTGGATACTCCGCGCGCCTCAAACAAAAAAAAAAAAAAACGATTTTTCACAACGCACAATTGTTTCGAATGTCAAAAATATACGTACTCAAAGATTGATCTGACAACAAATTCGTGGCTGTGGTACCTAATCCTAATATTAAGTTACCCATTTCTTGTAAGGCACATACTAACAAGTGCTGGCTGAACAAGGTTTCTTGATTGCAATCTTTGGCGTTTTCCGGACTGAAATCTGTAACGGAAATTAATATAATAAAATACTAGTAGCGATATATAAAAACAATTCAACACATCAATCTCAACACATCGCGCGTGTGTAAAAACATCAGCGTTACCGATAGAATTCATCTGTTTTAAAATTATGTGCGCTATCTCCTTGCAAGCGGCAGCCTGAGCGCCTTCTCCCAACAGTTTTCCAACGGTTCCGCGTAATATAAAATTCACGCATTTGCGGGAATACACCGCCTCGACATGTGAATTCGCGGCTTTCGGATTTGTGACCAGATCTAAAACGTGAGCGATCAGCGTGCCCACGTTGCGCTCTAGCCACGTGCCGCCCAACATTTGTACGAACACCACGTAAGCCTGCAAATATCAGAGCAATCGGTAAATTCGTCATCTGCTTGAAAAAAAAAAAAAAAAAAATGTATAAATATGTACACAACACTCTTGCACTTACGTGAGTCACTCCAACTCGTACTTCTCTATTTACGCTAGAGCTTCCCTTTATTATCTCCCCTGTACCTTTGAGAAAGCCGACGCAGCCTCTCAAAAATCCGGACATCAAAATGTTCAACACCTCTTCGAGCGACGTCTGTTTGACGCCTTTGTTGTGCGCGACTGCGAGAAAAAACGTGACAAATAAAAAACTTATTTCTCGTTTCAATTTTTTTTTATATAAATCATCATACGTCGCATACAGTAAATACCGGTAAGATTTTTTATTTTGGGCGAAGGCAGCTGAGTCATTGCCACCAAGGTGCCCAATAGTTTGGCAACGGCACATCTGACCTCGTAATTGGAACCCTCAAATGCTCGAAAGCACAATGTCGCAACACTCTCGATTTCGGTCGTATATAAAAACGGAGCATGATTTAACATTTCCAACAAGCACTGCACAAAAAAAAAAAAAAACGAAGATTACTGGTTATTCTATATTTTAAAGAATGAAAAATACAATTCATTCTCGTTTGTAAATACCTTAGCAGCGGCGCATCTCACTGCCATCACTCTGTCAGTCAGGTAATGTCTGGAAACTTTGTATATCTCCTTGTGAACGTTTGTTATTGCTGATCCCATTCCGGCACACACCTGTATATAAGTGGTATCAATACGTAAATATCAAGTTATTCCCCAGCTCCTATTTCAGAAATTCTAACTAAAATCTTTTATCACCTTCTCTAATGTGTGCATGATTTCTATTCGCATTTGTGATTCTGCAGATCTTAGAGACTTGATTAATATCTGCACGGTCTCCTCGTACGATCTGCCCATCATTCTCCCCAGTTTTTCATACATACATCCCATGCAGCAGATAGCAGCTCTAAGAGAAACCAAATACACGTACACATGTAGAATATAAAAAAAAAAAATGATTGTTAATGTAATTCCAATTTTTATATTTACAGTTTCGTTGGCAGAAAGCTAGGTGAATCGTCTTTATTTCTCAAGATGTCATTGCACTTGTTAACAGTATCAAAGAGCAAGAATGTGTCGCCAACACTGAATAAAGTAGCAAGGCATCTTGCTATAAGACGCCGTGTAGGTGGACCAGGAGCACCTTGCATATGCCTGGTCAATTGCTCGACCAATTTTTGCTGGCACCCTTTAATATCACTCTGTACAAAATATTTGTTTATTATACAGTCAGAAATTTGTTGCACAAGTATTGACGCAAATATAAAAATTTATAATTTGTAATTTTTGTTAGAAGACAAATTTAATAGTAGTTATAAATATCAAACTTTTCGATTAATATACCTTTTGTGCAGCAACCAGAACCTTGTCCAGAAAACGTAACCATTCAAAAATAAAGACCGGTCGTTTAGCTTCTGGAATTTGATTGAGCGCATCCTCATTGAGGGTCAGGCTATGACTCAACTCCATCATCATTTAAAGTAGATGCACTTCGCCGAGTGCTTTCAGATATATTGCTCAATTCGCTTTTTCTCCTACAATATTCGTCAAATTGAATGTCGGCAATTGATGATTTAATATACAGTTTAGCAAGTTGTTACGGCTATTGCAACAAAGCGTGTATTGAGGTCAGATGCATTTTGCGCGCATTCGCTTCGTTTGTTTGTTTATATCTGGCTTTTGCAAGACGAGCAAAAATACAGTGAATTGAACTATTTGTTCAAGACATTTAGACAATGTTTAACTTTAACAATCAGCACTTACCACGCAGAAAACAAAAATGAAAATATTGTATCAATCGGTGAGAAGAGACATTTTTATGGCATCGCGTATTCTTCGCAAGATTATCACTTTGTCGCGCTCATGTTAAGAAAGTCGAAAAACACTGTGTCGGTAACAATCCTCACAACGTCCAAGCCGTCCAAGTGTCACTCAATGTTGCATCGTTACGACGACGACAACAACATTCTGCGGCATGTATCGTGTACAAATTATGACTCACTCGAAGCGCAAACGAGAGCGGCTCTTTAATGGCAAATGACGTTTTCTCATGCAAGGTTAGGGATATATGCCATATTGCGAGAATAGTTCTAGGCGACGGGTGTAGAGGTGGTTATCATCGCACTCAATACACACATTGCCGCTTCGACGCGTTTGTAGCGCGAGTTGAACCAAGTTGAACTCTGTCCTCGATTGTCGCGAAGCTGATCAATTTTTGCACCGGAAAGGTGTTCGATCAAGGTCGAGAGAGAATTTGTTTTACATTCAAAAACTGTTTTTCATAATTTAATATTTGTTTAATTTAATAAAAATTGAAAGAGAAGATATTTTAAAAAATTTTGAGACCGTAAGGTACTTTGTTTATTTTTAGACACGCGCGACGCTGGAACATGACGCAGTCGATAAGATAAAAAAAACTCTAGAAAAAGTTATATTATTTGTAAGTAAACAATTTTATAAGATTCCGTGGTGCGTTATTGTATTATTTTCATGTGTTTGCGTGCTTCCCGTAGGACTTTTTCCAAAATAATGGACAACCAAGAGGCACAGAGTATTAACTCTGACGTATTTATGTATATAATTTATAACCATTTAATTTTAAACATGTATCTATCTTGCGTTTAATTTGTTTTAACAACTGTTATTGCGACTGAAGAAGGCTCCATTGGAGACCGAAACGTTTCGCGTTGTTTATTATTATGTATTTTCAAAATTATTTATAGAATTATATTATTACTTTCAACTTTTTGCTCGTTTATTGACCTTTTTTATCGTTTATTATTGTTATATTTACGAGCTTTCTCATTATTATTTATTAAAAGTTATAGAGTCTAAAGAAATAAGTAAAATTTCTTTCAAGTATGCACAAACCGTTCAACGCTTGTTTTTTTCTCTTACACTAAATTGTCTTAGTTCAATATAATTCAAGCATTATATTTATATTGTACTCGAAATAGTTACTTGATCGGTTTTTTAGCTTTTCGCTATTTTTAAATTAAAATCGTGACACGCACATCGTGTGTGTGACAAGTTTAATATTTATAAAAAAAAAAAATACATATACAATAAAATAAATTATATCACCTTGTGCGAGAGCTAATGTATTTTCCTATTTTTGAATAAAAAGAAGAAATGTTTCAGCTTATTGGACAAAAACAACGTTTTACAACTATTTCTCGTGTTATATATTTAGCTTTGCGACTTTTTTTTCTCGAAAACAATGAATCACAATCTTCTGCTCGCGTCGCCTTATCTGAAAAAATACAATTTTACCTTATGTACACACATCAGAACAGATGATTGCACGTGTTTTCGATTCCGGTACAAATACGTATGTACATCGATACATATAATTCATTATACCTAATACTTATGTAATGTATAAAGATGTATAATTTTTTTTTTTGTGTATCATATATATATGTATGTATATAGCCGGTAGAAAGTGTAATTACATATTAAAGAGCCAGAGACGTAACATGTATTTTTTTGTTGTATACAATTGTTTCATCTAAATGTGTAAATTTGACTTAGCTATGAAAGATAATTATTACACAGAGCGGTTTGGAATGTAATTTGTTTTCGTTATGAGAATGATACTCTCTGGCAACATAAATAACGGTGTAAAGAAGCATTACTACAAAATGAATTTTGAAACAAAATTTTTTTCTCGAGATGACAAAGAGGATATAAATTCGTCGCCAAATCGTCACTCTCTACGTATAATTACATAAGTGTCACATATGGGATTTTCAGTTTATTGCATAGTGACACTCAGAAAGTCATGTTCTTTGTGGTCACCAAGTATTAAAAAAAAATATTCATAAGTAAGGTAAAAATTTAAAACCGAAAGATCCCTTAACTAGGGAAACTATATGAAGCTTCAAACTTTTAAACTGCTCTCCTCTAAAATTTGCGTTTTGGAGTTACGGGATTATACGTAGGGAGTGACGAAATATTAGATGGTAAACTTAATTCCTGCCGTGTTTTGTTTCGAAGGGAAGATAAACGAATTATCTTTTAATCGAGGTAACTTCCTCCGATTTCTGCTACTTTTTTCCATCTCTCCGGCAACAGGGCGATTCCGTGACGGTAGAACGCGATTGTCTTTCGAGTCTATTCATTCATCCACCCAGTTTAGGACGTCTTCGTAATTGGAGAAATGTGTGTCTGTAAGTGCGTGTTGCATCGAGACCGGAAGAGACTCTCCAGACCTGGCAATCCGACGGTGCCAGGTCTGGAGATAGACGCTGGATGCGCTGGAGGACTTCGCGGACTTCAAGCTCTAGTATCTGTTTCACGTTTTTCGCAACATGCGGTCGAGCGTGTTATCGTGCGAAAGAACTGACTTTGCGTCGATTGTTGGCTACGGATGGTCTTCTTCGCATCAATTTGTCACTCAATCGGTCATAATTGTTGTTGGTAGCAATCAACTGTAACGGTTTCATATTTGAACGCGAGAGCTCGTAATACAGCACACCCTCCTGGTCCAACCAAATACAGAGCAAGGTCTTTTGCTCGCGAATATTTCTCTTTGGTGTTAAAGTGGGTGGATGGCCGGGATCCACCGATAATTTTCTCTGCTTGGGGTTATCAAAATAAATCAATTTTTTCGTCGCCAGTCACGATGCGCAACAAAAAACTCTTTTTTCTTTGCCTGGCAAGCAAAGAAGTTACGATAGACTAACGATTCAAAATGACATCTTCTGACAACTTATGTGGTAACCATTTCTCTTCCTTACGAATTTTTCCCACGGTATGCAAGCGTTTTTAGACGGCCATTGAAGTAACGTTTAAGAGTAACTTTCAACAAGTCTAAAAGCGTTTGAGCTGGATCATCATCAAGCAATTCTTGCAGCTCGACATCTTCAAATTTTTTCGGCTGTCCGGGACGTTCTTTGTCTTTCAAGTCAAAATTATCGTTTCGAAAACGTTCAAACCAAACTCTACATGTTCTTTCTGATAGAGTTTCATCACCATACATGTCGCATAATAAGCGATGCGCTTCAATTGCGGTTTTCTTGAAATCGAAGTAGTGAAGAAGCACATTTCGGAAAAACAGCTTATCGTGGTTCATTTTTTAATCGATTGGAAAAATCTCTTTGGCGTCGAGAAATCAAACCTGTGAGGACTGAATTGAGCTTTCAGCAATATCTAAACTACAAAAGACATATATGCGACTTGACTGTTAAAACTCGCCAGCGTTAGGGAGTCGGCACCCTGTAGTAGCGAGCGGCAGAGGAATTAAGTTTACCACCTAATATTACGACTTCGCAATGCGACGCCCAAGTTACGCCCGGGAAGTAGACAGCCCTTTGCACGCGGGAGCGCAGTGGGTTGCCTATCTCTCAGGCGCTTTCAACTTTTACGAGAAAGCGCGCGCGCGTCCAGAAATACCTTTTATATATACATTTATCTATAGTCACACGTATTTACAGTAATTATAACTATCGCATTACGCGTATAGTTTTTAGAAAAAAACGATATTTCGCGTAGCTTAAAATTCGCAGTCTCGTATTTGTTGCACGAAAATGTTTAGTCAAGAAATGACAAATTCAGCGTTCACAAGGAATGACGATTACGCTGTGGCGCGTAACACACGACATAGTTTCTTTTAAGAGTAGGATTAAAATTACTCAAAAAAGCGAAAGAGAGAGAGAGAGAGAGAGAGAGAAACATGACATTTTATCTCTTCTTTTTTTCGTTCTCGTTACACAATATTTCGGGAATATTACAATAGAAATTCTACCGCGCACATTTATTAAATCCCCGAGTTTTGAGGGATTTTCTTTTACATCAATTGTAAGAGTGAGTCAGGTTTTTTCAGCTTGTCTCCCTCGGATTTTGTTCGCATAAGTCACACTGTAAACGCCACACATTTTTGGCACACATACGCGCGCACGCACGCAGGACACGTACACGTACACACACGCACACAAGAAGACAGAGAGATAACGTTTATATAAGGCACAGAATACACATTTTACATACGAGCGATAAACACACACACACACACACGGTTGCACAGCCCCGATAAAATTAAAAAAAAAAAAAAAAAAAAAAAAGGCTAGAAGAAGGGAGGAGGGGTAAAAGGAACTTATGTACAAAGTCACAAATGTATATCCTATACTAAAAAGATCATTGGCGACGTATAGAGCGCTGTTTATGTGATATACTATATACATTATTACCCTAATAGGCAAAGTGTGAAAATATTGCACAAAAATGGCAATCATGAATAACGACGATCCTGCAATGATTGCATTAAAGATGATTCGCCATAACGTAACAGTTTTGTCGAAATAAAATTTTGTAAATAATATGTCAAAAATGGCGAAAAAGTTGTTATGCATTTCCATAAGTATATATATGAATTAAGTTGATTTCTTCATATGCAATTATATATATTTCTCTACATATTTTAAACATCTCACATAGATGAAATTTTTTTCTCAATTATTGGACAATTTCTCTTTTTGAAATTAATTTTGCAAATATACTGCTAAGATGATTCACCATATCGTTATTCTTTTGCCGAAATAGTATTTGGAAAATAATTTTACAAACAACTACAAATATTTTATAATAAAAGATCGATGTTTTTACATCTATTTCCTAAAATATATCTGTATAATTGCAAATTACACATTTTTAGTGCAAGATTTCGTCAAATAATTTTGTAAATGTTTTCCTATCAGGGTATGCGTACGCTACACGTACAGAATGTATCGTTTTTAAAAATACTAATTAAATTTTCGATCCTGATGAGTACACAAACTGACAATAAGGAACGTGTTTAAAACAAAAGCTTAATACATGTAAGTCTAGTTGCAGTTACATTTACACGCAAAGATCTTTTTCCATATAAACGTGAATTGTAATACTCAGAAAAAAACATTTGTTAATATTCTTGATGAAAAACGTAATTTGTGACGTATACGCAAAAACAATAGTATAATTATGTAATCCAGCTTCACAAGAATATCTTGAAAGCGGACGAAGCATGATTATACATGGAATATTAATTACTTTGTGCCCTAATATTATCACAAAAAATGAGTCAGCATCCTGGCTCGGGATCAAAATTGCTCTAAGTAATTATTCTCGCGAGTCACACATAATTCTGATCCAATTGTAGTTTTGAGTTCAAGTCTCTCTGTTAATGCGAACAATTGCATATACATGCGTGCTATGGTCATGTTATTATTTATTCATTCGGACTGTCGATAGAAAAGTATATTATCATATGGAATATGCTATTATATGTTATGTACAGGAAACATTGTCTTGTGCTACGAGAGAAACACGCTATTCTATTACAATGTATCTTGTGCTGGCACATTTTTGTTGTTGTTGCGTACATCGAGAAAACGTGCCAAAAATAACTGAATTAATACTCATTGAATATGAGAACACGAATGATATTTGAGGGAAAAACGAACGAGATGAGAGAAAGAGAGAAGAGAAGATCGTTATGACAATATCGTTAATTTCTTATGTTGTAACAGTTTCCAACGTTGCGCAAAAACCTTGATGTAATATTGTTTTAATATTCAGAACGATTTTTGACGGAATGTTTTTAGGAAGAGTAGCTATTTTTTTTTTTTGAAAAACTATACTATTAGAAGCAAAAACGTTTATGTTACACAGAATGTAACTCTTCTGTTTCTTTTTTTAAATTTGGTTATATTTTGCAATTTTTAATTGCAGACACCTGTATATGCACGTATAGAATAAATAATACTGTTTAGATACAGTGTGTAATATTATTATCTCTCTCTTCATTGAAAAAGAGTAATATTTATTAAAATTAGAAAATATTGCATCCGCGCGCGTTCAATCAGCCGAAAATCGCTAACCGCGCGATCGTATTTGTTTTCAATATATACAAGACAAGATCGTATTTACGAGATAAAACTTTCCTTGTTTTTCAAAGTGCACGTGACGTTGCTCGCGAAATTTCTTATTAAAAATGTTTGTTTAACACAAATAATCTAACATCGACCGAACGAACCGTTTGCAAAGCGATTCGATCTCGTCCCGGTTATTTTGTGAGTTTCGTTCGCAAAAAATATTCCACAATCGAAACGAAGCACGTGAACAGAGACCCGTCACAGTTATGGCAATATTAACACAAAGTCGAGTAATTGCTGATTTATCGACCCGATTATTCGTGTTGCGAGTTCTAGAAAATTTATATCAAATATTCTCTCAGCCTTGGACGGTGATTCTTTCTCTTTTTTTTTAGTCATAATTTCGCGCGTATTAAATTCTTGCTTCAAGAGCTGACGAAAGCTTGTAGATTGTATCGATAAATGCGGTGTAAATACAAGATAAGGTCTTTAGCGAGTAAAAATGTATATTATATACATAACGTCAATTTATCTAAACGCAATTATATTCAGCCTAGATTCATCAGTCAATACAGACTAATCTGCCAGATTCTACAAGTTCCAAACAAGAACGTAAGTTAAATGAGATAGTACAAAGGAGAAAACGAGTATGTATGTATGTTTCTCGATTTTCGAACACACGTGATGAGATTCGTAAACAAATCGAGAAAATATTTTTTCATACATGATGATGTGTTAGAAACTTTCTACTGTACAGAATGTGATAATATAAATATTATTTACACTTGAACTCTGCATGCCCCACCTTCTTTCTCTACATATCTATATATATATATATATTACTTTAAGAATATATATACACAGTCACAAAACATTCAGTTAAAGTTTAGAGAAAAAAAATAGAAAAACAATGCAGATTAAATATTTTTTGTCGAAAAAAAATTATAACTTGTTAATCTCTCTGTATTGAAAAATACTTGAAAAAAAAAAAGAGATTTTATATAAAAGTTTTTACTAGCGAAGAAAGAAGTTATTATTATTCAATAAATAACGGTTTTGAGTAGAATAAAAATAAAATTCGCTTCGATAATTGTTAATATAGTGTAACTGACACACCGTATGTGTCATTTTGTTTTGCTTATATTTATAAATACGACGTTTCTAAAATTCTTTTCTGTAATTTGTCTCGAATTAGAAACACTACGGAAATATATAAATGATAGTCACGATTGACGAAGAGGAGGTCGTGTTGAAATCGACACTGCCGTTCGAAACTTTCACAAAAAAAGCATAATACTCATTCATAGACGTTGACTGAGATGTATATGAGGCACCATTTTCTTTTTATGTACAAAATTTACTATACTTGCTAATGGAATGATATATATGTGTGTCCATCGGGGGGAAAAATAGAAGTTATGTATATGATTAATTTACACATTAAATTCTTTTAAGAAAGTTAGAGAATTTGAGCGTCGTGATATATAATTTTTTGTTCGTGTAAACTTCGCTCTTTTCTCATCACTGCTTCATCATGCTTTACGTTTACGACGGTGACATTGCTGACAACGGGAGATGATGATGACGACAATGACGATCATGATAAGAGCCAGGCGGCTCTCTGCGTGATCATCATCGTCATTGTCGTCTATGAAACGTTGCTGCTCTAAATTCGCTGAACTTATACGATAATAAACTAAGGAATGTAATAAACGGTCATGCGAGCCATTCGCTGGAATGTTGTGCGGAAATATGCGTGCATATATAAAGGCGACGGCACGGAAAGCTGGAGATTCCAGGTTCGGACTCCTGGCCGAAAAGTTTTTTTCGCTATATTTTAAAATTATAACTAAGAATGAAAAGGCCAATACGAGCCGTTCCCAGGATGTTGTGCAGGAATAAGCGTGCATGTATATATAATATATATACACATGTATGAATTCACATGTAAATTAATTATTAATTAATTATTAATTTATTGATTTTAAGAATTGAAATTTCAATTCAAAAAACCCACATGTAAAAATAATTTACATGTGGGTTTTTTGAATTGAATTTGTATATATATATACATGCACGCATATTCCTGCACAACATCCTGGGAACGGCTCGTATTAGCCTTTTCATTCTTAGTTACAATTTTCACGAGCCTTCACTATTTATTCATTTTAAAATTAGTTAGGGGAGTATACGAGGTCTCTCATATATGAGATGCAATTATAGCATCCTACATGAATTTGAGAATTGAATCAAAATCTCAATTCAAAAACTCACGTGTAAGATTCACACGTGTACACGTGTATATATATATATATACACGCATATTTCCGCACAACATCCAGCGAATGGCTCACATGACCGTTTATACATTTCTTAGTTTAGAAACTTCGGAGCCTAAAAGATTCTTTATTAATTGTTTATACGATAATATTCGCTCGTTCGGTATCGTTGCATTTAAAATTATTCGAGGGGAGAATAAGGGGGAGAGAGAACAAAGACTTGTAGAAGTCACACACGATCATTGCGATCCAGCACCGACTCTTTCGCGAGAGTTCGTTCTGGAAACGACGGAACTACAGAGGGGACGGGCACCTGTAGATGACGCGCCGTCGTGCCCGTGACTCCACGGGCTACACAGCGCAGCCTTTTCTGGTGCCGTAAAGTACCTTCAGTTCTGGCATGATGATCTTCTTGATGAGGGCGTTCGTCTTGGCGGTGAGCATGTCGCGATGTGGGTCCTTCTTGAAAATTTTAATGCCAGGCCGATGCACCAAGAAAGCGTTATCCAAAATGAGGAAATCATAATCGAGAACGCACAGCGCGTAACCCTGCATTTGCAATTGGTAACTCAATATATGGCACACAGAGTGTTATCTCTCGAAAATTACTTAAAATAATTTAACGATGTTTGATTAGAAAACTAAACAAAAGCTCATACCTGGGTCATCTTGTCGCTTTTCCCTTCCCAGCTGAGTCTTTCGTCGTAAAGAGGATCGTTATTGGTCCCGATAAAGATCGGCTCCCAGTGTACGAAGCTGCCGGTCCTTTTGCCAACGTGAAACACATGCAGATCCTTCGTTTCCGGTGCTTCCTGCCACTCCTTGCTCTTCGGCACGTTGTGGCAACCGGAGCATAATTTTTTATGAAAGGGTATGGCAGTGCCCGCCTTCAACATTTGTATCTGCAAATTCACATAAACTCGCAAAACAAAGTTTTCCACAAAAACTTGTTTGAAATAAAAGATGTGTGTTTGTTTTTTAAACAAATTCAATTCTATGTACAATTAAGTTCAGCTTCTCTTTCTCTCTCTCTCTCTCGAACATTTGGTTCAATTAGTTTAATGGAAACAGATTGTGATGTCAACAACAAAATGTATGACACATCAGACGTGTCGTGCGTGACGTTTTGACTTCCGGCGCGCTGTGTTTTGCGTTTTCAGCGGAAGGTGGTGGGAAAAAATATAACGAGCAATTTGCATCATGCACGCGCGCGTCGAGATTACAATCGCTCTCTGTTACACCGCCCCAGTTCTGAATGCGATGCGACAAAAGGTGTATTGTGTCGCTGTGTCATGCCGTACTGTGCGGTACGCAATGTAGCACACCGGACAATAGAAAAGCTAATTCCGCGTATCAAGGTCCACGGTCAAAGGAAGCTCCATTGATTCGCCGTCGACCCTCGCCTACGCGATCGGACATGTACTCGTTACGCTCTCATTCGCACGTGCTTAATTGCGCCTTCGTCAGAATCAATCACACGAAAATCGCGAAACAAAGAGAAAACGTACCAGACGCGTTTTGTTATTAGGCGGCTGACTCTTCTCGTCCACTTCGAAAATCGACAGCACGAAGACTTTGGGATTGGGTTTGTCGAGTGCTGGCTGATCCCGTCTGCGGATCATCTCCAAAAATTTGGCCGGCAGATTTGGGCTTGGGTACAACTCGATGTCGCTAGGGAACACGTAGAAAGTGAGCGCGGACTCGCGCGCTATGTTACGACCCACGTTCACTGGGTACAACAGTTTCTTCTCGTTCTTGTACATCTTCGAGAGACTCACGTTCACCCACGGCGGACCGAGCGAACAGTTGTACGTGTCGGAGACGATCTTTTCCGACGGCGGAACCTACGGCAAAATCACAGATGTGTGCTGACTATAAACTTAATGCAATAATGCTTCGTAGTAATAAATATTTGTACTAAGAAAATATTTTTGAACACAATATAAAAATGTGGTAAGGTTTTTCTTCTATTTACAAGTTTTGTGTGTTTTTTTTTTTTTAAATAGAAATCAATTATTTCATTCTACAATGAAATATATTTGTGTGTGAAATTTGGAAAAATCTCAAAACCGAAGCTCCACGACGTGTTATCGAGTCGTTCATTTACCATTTTTGGCACATGTTTGCTGCTGAAGAAGATGTGAAAGGTGACTAGCTGCGACACCAGGGCGCTGCCGCAGTTTCTCGAGTATCGGATGGCGTCAAGAGTCGCCGGGAAGTCAGTACCGGGCGCATGCATGGCGATCGATATCGGTGCCCGCCAGCGCTCCAGCAGCGGCTCCAGATTGTCCAGGAATGTATAGTCGGCGTGTGTGGTGTACGTCACGCTCTCCCAGCATCTAACCGCCATGCTCATCGGCACGTAGTTGTACAGCACCCAATAGTCGCCGCGTTGCGCCCGCCTCGGTTCGGTTGACTTCTCGTTACAGGGTATAGCCTCTTTTAGACTCATCGGTTCGCGAACAATCTTTGTCGTGCCGTTGTTCCTCATCTGGACAAAGAAAGCGAGCTTTTCTAATTGACGGTTTCGGAGCAAAATTAGCATAGGGTAGCGAAAATGCCATTTGAAACACACATTCCCGTATTCATTTAGTCACGGTTCTCTTCGCAAACTAATTTACATGCAACGGTTGAAGAAACCCATAAAAGAGAAAATAAAACGAAACCCCGAAACAACAAAGAGACAAATACCGTATGATTACGCGAATGCTCTCTCTCCCGCGATTTGTCGAGAGCTTCGATCTTGACACCGTTCAGGGGAGGCGTCGTGGTGACGAGCCTGATCCTGAGCGGACGACTGGCGGCGCCGTTAGTTCCAGGTGCCGCATCCTTCGTAGCGGTCAGCGACGAGGACAATGACGATGCGACGGCGCCTTTCTGCGTGCCGTTCACCAAATCGTACGTGTCCGATTGGATCGGTGCCGCTGCCCAATTGGTCGGCGGTTCCTCGATCCACGGTCCGGAACCGCCGAATTGGGCGCACACGTAAAGCAGCACGCAGACGTTCAACACGATCGACAGGCGCAGCGCCCAGTTTCTGCGGGCGATGCCTACGATGCTCATTCTATGCGGATTAACGTGAAAAGAATCGGCGACGAAAGGCGGATCTCGAAACAGTTCCCTGCGACTTCCAACTATCTTGTCGAACGACGTCGCGTGTTCGTTGATGTTAGGTTTGTGATTTTTTCTCACGTCGACCAGCCGCATCCATCATTTCTCTTCGTGGCTTCTTCGCCCGACCGGCGATCAGGAGTTGTTCATCCTATCGGGAATCTGTCTGGGCTCGATTGCGCGCGCGCCTTGGAACAAAAATTAAATTTCGCTGTATATACAATCTATAAATTTTAAAATCATCACATTAATGCGCGAATGTGTTACAAAACATTGTTACATCATAAAAAAATTAAACTAGACACAGTCTTCAACATTTCGCGACGCGCATTAATTTTGATTCGTATCGCTTTAGCGACGAGCATTATAACGTTTCTCCCGGCGAGACGATCCAGTTTATATCATGCGCCGCCGACGTACTTAAAAGCAACTTTCCCCCTATCTCGCATCTTCTTCCTCATTGATGTCAAGCATAACATCGCCTCGCGACCATGCGATGCAACGCGACTATATCGGACCGAGCCGGTCTAAATTGAGTAACAGCGACCAAAGCGATATTCCTTCTCCGCCGAGCGAGATCACGATCTGACGTTTGGGCAACGGCGGGTGAAATCGAGAGAGAGAGAGAGAGAGAGAGAGAAAGACCAAACAAGAAAGCGCCATTACCGAAAACGACCAGTAAGAGAAGCGACCGGAGAGTCGTGTCGTCGTCGTCGGCGACGATCCTTTCCGTATTCGATCTTGCATCAACTCCTCTAAACAACCAGAGATATCGACGGGATTTTCTTATTTCACGATTATTACATGGAATATATCAAGTATCTATTAAATATCGATTTTCAATTCTCATTATATACAAATCTCTTTTTTTTTGTTTCTCATACAGTTTTACAAAAACATTCTATAGTATATTTTTTACTTAAATATTTTACGCAGAAATGTACTACCTAGCTTTGTTGTAAAACCACTTTGCTCAAGAATTATTATGTAAAGGAAAATAAATTTACGACATGCGATATTTTTTTTTGTTTTTTTTCATTATGCAAACAGTATTTCGATCTTGAAGTCAGGATTGATCGGTAACATGAGCGCTTGTTTTTCTTTATATTGTTTTTGTTTGGAGAACTTACTGCATCGGTTGCAAGAAAATACGCAGGAGCGTGCGACAATATACATTTTGTTTACATGTCTCAAACAAATCCAAAACAGAGACTGCAAACGCAAAGTTTGAGTCGCGATCGTTCGTTATACGCTCGAGTGAAAGCGATCAGATGGCAATACAAATATATATAAAATTAGCGATGTATCACGCAAATTAGAAAAACACGAGAAAGCGGCGTTGATAAACAACGTTTATTGACGTTGATGGATTGTCGTGTACTCTCAATGTAACATGATATTACATTAATATATGTGTGTGCAAAACGGTCAAGTTTACGCTCGGAAGTAGGAAACCCGCCACACATAGAAGCATAAAGGGTTGCCTACTTTCCAGGCGCTTTCAAATTGAAAAGCGAATGTGTCAATATTCTAGATGTTACGACGTAATCGTCAATCTTCTAAATGTTACCGATCCTAAATGTTACAAGACACGATCGTATTTCTGTCGGAATGAATTTGCCAATTTATACACACACACACACACACACACACAAAGAGATAATATGCACGCGCAAAATTAATTCGCGTAACATCGAACTATAATCGCGATCAGTGAATTTTATACGTCCCGGAAGTAGGTGGGTGTGGGTGACCGGAATTGATAGTGGCAGTAGAAATAGTTCACGCTCGTTGACTACATTAAGCATTGAAGCTCACTTTTCGCCAGAAGCTCATCGCAATTACGACCGAGTGCATTAACCGTTCGCTTATGTTGCCGTTTGAACTCAATTTACTTTTCTCTGATGAAAAATTCTCACTTCGATAGAGCAACGATTTTCCGACGATATTATTTCGTCGTAAAATAAAATTGAGAAATAAAGTACGGTGTATGTATTTATTTATTTAACGTCACGTCACGTCACGTGCAACCGAACGAAAGTTAAATTTCATCGTTGGCGCGTGCTTCGTGGCGTTGTCGCTACGGCATCAAATCTCGTGAGATGCCTGTGTAAACGGTGAGCTTAAAGGGGTTAAAACGGCGACGCTTTTTACGAAAAAAAAAAAAAAAAAAAAACTGCCAGAGCTGTGCGCGAGCGCCTTTCACAGGACGCAGTCTACGAATCAGAGCTGTGTCAGCAAGAAGGGAGTTCGGACTCGCGCATTTACTTGCATCCGTCAACGAAAAGAAATTGCCGTTATTTTTAACTTTCTAGCGAGTGACACGGGTGAGCGTGAATCACTCGATTGCGCGATTCACTCGGCGCGCTTTAAACGACACATTGTTTTTTGTTTAAAAAAAAAAAAAGAAAAAAGAAAAAAAAACATCGTCACGGAACGCAGATGACTGTTTAATTCGCGTTTCTCGTGTCTCTTTACTATTACGCGCGGCATCGCATTGCGATTTGTCATCGTAAAAATGAAAATAGAATAACGCGTACGTAGATACTTTATGTGCCGTATATAAAACTGCTATTATTATCTTTATAGCATCCATCATTCTCTCATGAAATTTTCAAGTTAATGTAATGTGAATTTCCAACAGATCTCTCTCTCTTTCTAATCGGGACATTTTACGCGTTTACGCGTAAACATCGGAACGAAATGTAAATTGATAATATCGTCGTTTGAATGTTGAAAACACAACACAAATCCGCGAACAGAATTTTCCGCGAAGATGTGAGGAAGTTCCACTGCGTGGAAGAAGAATTCAATTTTCCTTCATCGTTTCGCGCGAAATTATTTGAGTAATATACGACGTACGCGAGACATGCGAAATTCGAGCCCACACTCATTTCTGCATTAGCATATATATATATATATATTCTTCGTGCAACGACGCGGCGTCATGCACGATCGATCTATTGATTACATTCAAACGGCGTAATAAGTCAATAGCCACCGTGACGGAGGACTTCAATGGGCCGAATAAAGCAGATGTGTCTGCTTCTTATTTCTTCGCATTAGCGACGAGTTCGACGAACCCGCGACAAGTTCGCAAACCTTTTGCACTATGGTGCCAATCGCGCGCGCTAGTGAAAAATTGAACACACAAAAATCGTTTCCCTCGCAACATTTGATCGTTCGACTATATAAATTTGTCGAACGATCCGCGCGTTCCGATAAAACGGCGCCGAAAAAAACGCCTTTCGCGCTCGTCACAAAAATCATCGAGAGTCGCCGAGATTTTTCTTTGTATAAATTTTTCAAAATTTATTTATAACTGAACAATTGTGGATTTTTCACGTAACTACCTCTCAATGACAATATCTAGAAAAAATAATATAATCATGCAATTTTTTTTAGCACAGAATATATTTGCACGTGTGTCGACAAATTGTTTCTTTTTTTTTTCAGACAATACAAGTAAGAAAAATTAATTACACAGCAGACTCAATCAGTCGGTACAACAGTGCAATTTTATTCAATGTACATCACGTTAATTTTTCGCGTTAATTTGGCAGAGTAATATAAGTGGCAGTCATTAGTCAACCGAGAAGAGAAGATAAGTAATTTCACGCTGAGATTGCACGATCGTAGAAGGTTGCGACGCACTTCATGGTTTTTTTCTTTTTGCTGCTTGCATAATATCTGCATAAATCTCGGCAATACTCGATAATGAACGCGATAATAGGTGAATCACGCGCGCGTCCGCGATTCGTTGTTCATGACGTTGTTTTACACGGAAATATCTCTATTCTATACGTATGTGTGTGTGTCTATTTTCACGATAAAAAGAGTGACATCCTGTCGCATGCGCGCGCGAAACGAGCGTCTTTACTTACGCCGTGACAGTCGGTCTAAATTATTTATTGTGCTGTAAGTTACCCTCTTCCCTCTCCTGCCTCCCCGCGTGTGCTATCGTATGCACGCGATGTGCAGCAGCAGCAGCAGCAGCCTGCCGCCAGCGGTAACGATCGATGCAACGACAACGCGATTGGGAAAGCTGAATGGAAAGAACGTGTTTTCACGTATACGTGTGCTGCGACACGAGTGCTGCGAAATCTTCCGAATAAAAAAAGTGCTAACAGCATTTTCAGTAAATAGCAACAATTTTGTGAACAAAAAAAAAATAAATAAATAGTAGAAATATTCAATAATAAACATACAAAGATATTTTTTCGGGTTTGAACCGCGTTAGTGTCATTTTTATACCGACGTTTCGTGAACATTACAGCTCACTTCATCAGGGTTTGAAGAGCAGCCTGATACTATACCTGATAGTATCTGTAATGTTACTAGATACAGCTCTAGATAGAGCTGTAATGTTCACGAAACGTCGGTATAAAAATGACACTAACGCGGTTCAAACCCGAAAAAACATCTTTGTATGTTAATACTACACACCGCGAAAGCATCAAATATCAAATTCAATAATAAAGTTTAAGGCTCGACGGAGACAAACTATAAGAAAGGTAAAAACCATTTTACTACGTAGCTTACCTAAACCATCTAGCTTCGTGAAAAACAGCTTTGAATTATATAACAGCTTATCTGATTTTAATATAGATGACCAGGATGTGTTGGTGTCCTTGGATGTTGTCTCTCTTTTTACAAACATTCCTCTGAGTTTAGCCTTGTATGGTGTGAGAAGAAGATGAGATTTGATTAAAGATAATACTGTCATCCCATTGGAGTCTTTCATAACTGCATTGGATTTTGTTCTGTCTTCAACCTTTTTTACTTTTAATGGTACTTGCTACCAGCAGACTTTTGGTACTCCGATGGGTTCCCCTCTCTCACCTATTATAGCAGACATAGTCTTGCAAGATTTAGAGACTCATTGTCTTGAGAAGTTGGGTTTCAATCTACCTTTTTATTACAGATATGTGGACGATATTCTAATGGCTGCTCCAAAGGAAAAAATAAATTTTATTTTTGATATTTTCAATTCTTACCATCCAAGGTTAAAGTTCACATTAGAAGTTGAATTAAACAGAACGATCAATTTTTTGGATACCTCTATTTCAATCGTTGATAATAAATTAATATTAAATTGGTACCAAAAACCGACATACTCNGGGAGATACCTAAATTTCTTCTCACACCACCCACTTAAACAAAAAATTGGCATTATTTATAATGTTGT